AAAATATTATTTGCTAATATCTTTTATTCATGTTCTCAAACATTGTTCTAAAATATCCCGTAGATATTTTATAATATAAAAAAATAATATTTTCTTCAATTGGTATTTTATATTTTAACAACATTTAAAGTAAATATTTTCCAAATATCCAAAAAACATTCTGCAAAAAAATGTTTTACAGAAAATATAGTTTTGCTATTTGCATAAAATGTTTTATAACGTAAAATTAAAATGTTTTACATAAAACATCTGAAAAATATCAGCTAAATGTTTTCTATAAAATATTGACATACACATTACTTAATAGTCTTACTGATATTTTATTCAACATTTTACGGATATAAAAATAACATTTTATTTAAACTTTATTCAAAACCCCACAAACAACGTTTTGTGGAATTAGCTCGTTTTTTTCAGGATAAGATATAGTACTACATTTCATCAATATCATGACAAGCAAGATACTATGGTTGAAATCCTTAATTGATATCTTGAAGATCCTTGAAGTCAGATTTTATTCCTTCTTATATTAAAATTCAAAAGAGTCAACATTAAATTAAGCAATAATGTATTAATAAACAATCACCTTTCTTTAATGTTTATTCATTTCGTTCGTGTATATTTTAGAAATTAAGAATTGAAAACTGTATAAACTGTACTAAGTTCAATCATAGTTTCGTATCGTTTATATGCCTTGCGGAAAACCGACCTTTTCCGGAATCGACTTTTGTTTTATCACCGGATTTGAATTTCGAAACGAAGACAGGATATCAACAAAGAGAGCCAAGGAAATTGTTTGTTACGCGATATATACTCACTTGGTAAGAATGATTAATCTGTTAAGATGAAACTTGTGCATTCATTGTGTGTGTTAAATCATAATCGGAACCAAATTACATCTGTTTCTGGAGGTGCGGATCAAGGTTTTCAAAAAGGGGGGCCCTGCCCAAGGCAAGCAAACGTTTGGAGTGATACTTGTAAATAGTCTATACATTTATCTTGTAAGTAGCTCCATAAGGGGGTCGGGGCCACTAAATCCTCCACTGTTCAAGCATCTACGTACAACAATTATGAATTTGTTCATTAATATAAAAAAATTATAAGGATATGTGGCTTGTGTGTTTGATTGCCAATACACCTTATCATTATTTGTCCACCATTACTGGCCATGGACATCACAAAAGTTCCCGTAAAATGTCAACGTCATATTAGAAAATATTTGACACCACAATTGAAAGTAATACACCTTATTGCTATTTGTCCGCCATTACTGGACATCACACAACTGTTACAAGTTCCCTTAAAATTTTGACGTCATCATAAAAAATATCTGATGCCACAATGGAAAAGTGATTGTTGTTTGACGTCAAAAGTTCAAGCAGGATAGATTCTCGGGTCAAGTGGGAATAGCGATAAGGTGTATTATTGTATGACGTATGCTGACGTAAAAAGTTCAAGAGGGACAGATTTCCAAATACTGAAATAGCGATAAGGTGTATGAGACAGCTATCCACCAGAATTTAAATGACTTGGATAAAAGAAATTATAGGTCACTGTACGGCTTTCAAAACTGAGAAAACCAATGCCATATACTCCACTTTGAAGCCTTGACAAACAAATGTTAAATTTTTCTCAACACAATTGAAACAAAACAACTAACTGCCTACATTAAATACACATTATGAAAAAGAAATTTGACAGACTTAAACCAACAACAACTATTGCAATAAGCATGACTCAATACCTTGTTTCCGAGGCACACAAACAAGTTACAATAACACTAATATAAGCACCATTTGAATATGGAGATTTTTTTTCTAGTAAAATCAGTGTATGTATGTATTTGCAAAACAGCTTAACGAACATTACAAAGACTAGTATGTAAGACTTCAGTACAAGCAAGGTAATATAAACTGTTGCTTAAAATTATATTTATTGCTTCATACACACAATGTTCATACAATGTATCTTTTATTTTTTAACAGGAGCTAAAAGAAAAGCCACAAAGGACAAGTTCAATATGCAGGTTTACAATTTGGAAGTGGAGCAGGTTCTTTGGAATGTCTACAACCTTTCAGGAGAATTTTTTTTTGAAGTAAGAGTTTCATACAGAATTACTGTTATTCCATATTTAATTCAAATATTTAGCATAAACAATGCGTTACATTCAAGATTAAGGGCATACAATACAGAAAAGATATCAAGATATTTGAATAAATTATATTTTTTGTGACAAAATAGAAACAAGTTGTTTATTTAAATCAATCTTTTAGTCCAACAGTGTGCATTCATAAACAACATATTTGCTTTCCTTTGAAGTATTTCAAATACATATAAGCAACTCATTTAATGACATCTGTGTGTTTCTCGGAAGTTAAGTTATATTATTATCATCATTGCGAAAACAATGCGTAACACTTCGATAAGTTATTATGTGCCTATAGTATACTTCTAGGACTGTATCATATGCCCTTAGATACAAATGACAAGTTATAAACTATGTCACTCTACAGAGTTTAACACTTAAAAAGGACAATAATATGTTTAATGACTTTATGTAGCAGGGCTTTTAAAGGCGCCTACATGATACAATGCATTTAATGAAAACTAAAAAAAAAAAACAAGAATAACAACAGCCTGATTTATACAAAACAATAAAAGAAAAAAAATATGATAGACAACAATCAACGAGTATAATGAAATAAGATTCTTGACTGGACACATATCTAGTCTAAAGTTTTTTATGTGTTTTTTTTTTTAATAACTAATGAAGTTCAGCGTGGCATATTGCTCTCTCTTAACACTGTCAGCCATTTATCGTCCCCTTCCGACAGACTATCGTCGTTATTTGTTTCAAAACTTTAAAGGGGAGGGAATGTATATCCTCCAGGCAACGTGAATCGTTCTATAATAAAGGAATGTGCAAGAAGTTTATATATGAATGTAAGATTATTTTTTTTTCAGAAGCATGGCACAGCAAGAAAAAGATATAAGACACTACAAGACATTCCAAGTGATTTTGAATAAGACAATTGATTGACTTTTTCGATGTATTCTTAAATAAATCAAATAGTTGATGTAAAATGGTGTTTTTTTTCTCAACTCTTCAGCCAATTATCAATGATTATTGACTTAAGATGTAACCCTATTAGAAGTGTAGTGTTTTAGTTTAGAAAGAGAAGTTGTATTGAAAAATCTGAATTTGGGACACAAGTTTTAGTCAATGTAACTTGAACTTAAAAATGTGTATAATGTTTGCATAATGTCCAATGGCATATATGTCATGCATGTTCAGGTTGACATATTCATGATGTGTATAAGATAGGTAATAAAAGTTGAGAGTGAAAAACTAAACATTATACCATTGTGGTTGGAATGTGGGCTTTCTTGCACTGTCTGTCGTCTGTCCACCTATATTTGTCGGATTTTGTCCAACAAATATTTTCATCACTGTTTTTCCCAAAACTGCTGATAAAGATGAGTTCATATTTAATGAGCTGCTTGATAGTGATGAACTGTGATGTGTGAACATTTTTGTATCTGGCACCTGTTTCCTGTTTGCTTATACATTGTATTTCAAAATGTTGAATGTTCTCAAATTTTTCATAACTTTAATTAGTAATGCTGATGAACAGAATGACTTCATATTTGGTAAGTGGCTTGACCATGATGAGTTGTGTCTGCCATTTTGGATGTGTCAAAATTTGTAGATACTTCTTGTTTTTAGAGACTGAATTGAATTTCATATGCTAAGCAAAACAACTGATTTATTCTTGTTTGTATATAGAATTAATCACTGTGTATAAATTAATTTAACTAATGATTTGTTATTTAAAAAGCAGGAAACTCTATCAAAAGTACAGAAATTTTTATATTGATATGATCTAGATATCAACCAAAAACATCTTCTTAAAACATTTTGAAAACATTTTTTAGGCACAGTCTCACTTGCAAGAAAACATCCAAAAAACATTTTTATAACATTATTTGATGTTCATGATGTTTTTCAAATGTTCAGAAAATATTTCTAGAAAATATTTTTTAAAAGATTATCAAAATGTTTTATACGCCATTGTTTTTCACATTATCATGATATTTCTTTACAACATTTTAATTATATTATGCAAATATTTTAGAAAATATATTAGAAAACGTTTTAGCGATATATATTCTACCATACATTTAATGTTTTTCTCACGTTTTTTTGTGATATTTTCATGACATTAGACACAACATTTTAAAAACATTTTAAAGATGTTTTTGTGTTTGCTGGGACATTAGTTAAATTTATCAATAGGTAAATGTCTGGGTGATTTGTTCAAATATACTACTTTATGATTATGCAATTGTCTTTAAAATGCAAAATATACTACTTTCTGATAAAAACTAAAAGTCGTACCAGTCAGATACAAATCAAAAGTAACAAACGAAAGGGGATAGTAGCTGGTAATTACCAGCCGTATTGTTTTTTTCTGTACTGGTAGTCATGTCAAGGTCATCGGCTTTCGGCTCGTATCTGGACTTGAATACTCTTTGAGAATAATAATAAGTTTAGCCCTTTCTTTGGTTGCCTTTTTCTGTATCTAATATATATATTTTGTATAAGTGCATGTTGATTTCTATTTTTGTTTTGGCTTATACTTTGATCTGCTGATAACGTGATGTCGACTACGCCATTATGATAATATATGGACTTAGCGGTGCTTTATGTCCCGTCACATACACGGATTTGTCTTAAGAGTCCCGAAGAAGAGCAACTTTTTGTCAATCGCAGGCATCCGTAAATACCTCGTCACAACCCGCAACCAATCGCCAACACTCTTAAGGATCCGTGAAAGGAGAAGCAATTTGTTTGATATACAAAAATCGAAATATCTATCCGCTTGCAAGAATTCTTTAATTGGACGCAAAATAGTAACTTTGAGTTAAACGGAAGTAGAATCTTATCAACTATATAGAAATTTAATGTGGAAAGACCTTCCATTGTTTTTTTTTTTCAGTAAATCTTGCACCACAGGGAGTAGCGGTACAACGCACAGATTATCTAGATCGTTACGCAAATCTTGCAATAAAAGGACCTGCAAATAATGAATGGGCCGACGGATGTTCTGCAACAAATGCAGGACAATTTTACGCATGGTGGGGCCTACAACTTCCAGCAGTTGCTCATATGACAAACATTGTGATTTATTACCGGAAAAATTGTAAGTTATAATCTATTGCATAAATAGATTTATGTAAAGCATACAGGCTGTACTTTGACCTATAATGGTTTACTTTTACAATTTGTGACTTGGATGGAGAGTTGTCTCATTGGCACGCATACCCTATCTTCTTATATCTTAGTACATGTTTCAGGAACAAATAAATTAATTTTGTATTTATTTTAACATTAGTTAATATTTATTTCAACATACAAGTATTTTAAATGTGCATACTAATTATGTACTGGAATCCTGATGAAAGAGAGCTAATTTTTCTCAAATTAATTCATGTTAGGTTAACTATTAAAAGATATGGTATACTTGCCAATGAGAAAATTTCCACCAGAGACCAAATGACATAGAAGGTAACAACTATAGATCACTGTACGACTTTCAACAATGAGCAAAACACCAACTGCATAGTCAGCTATAAAAGGCCCCGAAATGACAAATGTTAAACCATTTAAACGAGAAAACTAACGACCTGATGTATGTACAAAATAATGAACAAAAAAAACATATATGATATACAACAATAAACGACAACCACTGAATTACAGGCTCCTGACTTCGGACAGGCACATACATAATGTGATGGGGTTAAAGTAGGTTGAAGGTGTCATCTTTTCCTCCGCTTCTTAAACTGGGAGAGTGGTGTAACAATACTAAATAAGAAACTATAAAAATCAGTTGAAAAGGGCTTTATTCATTAGATCGATACATAGCAGAAATACACAAAACAACATCACAGACCACGTGGCAGGGTGCTTATAAACCCCGACAACAAAAACGACACTAAGTACAGATCTGATAGTACTCGCAGTTACTACACATTTACTAACAACTAATAAAATATCATGCATCTAAGACTAGAACATCTATAAGTACACATCCAACATCCAATGGATTAAGTGTAGTGCATTTGTAAAGACGTCATTAACAATCAGGGAAAAGCATGAACTTCAGCAAAGCCAGGATAAAGGTATTGACAGATTGTAGAGCCATGGATGCATTTGTATATATTTTTTATGATATTTAGTTTGATCTTAATTTACTGATCACAAAATAAATATTAATACCAATGTCTACTATAATCAACAGTTCCAAACTTCGTGTGTGAACTTTTAGTTTTAAACAATGCATTTGTGAACTTGAACCAAATAAAATAAAAATGTACAAAGTAGTCTTTAAACTACAATTTTGATTTATCTGACAATTGTTTTCTTTAACAATAAGTAAGTATATACTTTATGAAAACCAATATTCTTTCGGATATGAAGATATCTCTATATATTGTCTTTCAGTTACAAATTAATCAATTTTGGTAACGATATCAATTGATTAAAAAGTTGGTACCTTTTGCCTCTCTTTCACAAAACGAAATAGTATTTAAGAAATTTGGTATGTTGTAAGCGCGTTTCTTGGTTATTTTAACTGATGGGTTGATTGGTATTTGACACAACTTTCAGCGCATTACGTGATGTGCACAATCTTCAAATTTATTATTTTAGAATTGAAATCGTCACGTCATAGATCCTGGTAATGAGATGAACGCTTAAGTCAGTTTTGAGCCTAAAAAATGAGACAGAGAAAGCCCTGTCTGTTGTTTCTTTAATTTCTAATTCTGAGGGATATATTAATGGAAACCAATCAGAGAAGTTTGGATTGTTAATGACAAGAACGTCATTTATAAATCTGAATGCAAAATTAAATGATCTGGCTTCTTTGATCTTCTTGTTTTTGACAAATGTTTGAAGGAACTCTAACTACTATGAAAACTTAGAATAGTTCGACAAGGAGAAGCACACCGGTCGTTCCCATAGGAATTCAGAAAAATTTTTGGAAAAAGTCTACCAACACGAAACTCCAGCATATATATTGATCACTTGTCCCTCTGTGTAGCATGTTTTACCTTCTTCAATATTAACAAAATATGCAGTATGGTATCCCAAAGCAATACATTTATAGCGTACGCTACCATGGGTACCATTTTTATATTGAAACGCATTGTGAATTGTTTCATTTAGACGATTTGACATGGGAAATGGTGGTATACAGGGTTGAAAAATCAAAAGGTTTGATAGAGTTAATATCAGAGAAAGAACGAGATTTAAAAGTATCCAGAAGTTCTTTACAGTTTTTTAGAATCCACATATGGCCAATACCACTACGCAAGTAAACAGTTTCACAGTATGTCTGAAGACCATCTTTCACTGCGAACTGAATTTTTGTCAATCTAATGGACAAATCATTTGTAGAACATGCAGATGAGCCGGCAATGTACCGTTGTTTGTACGGAATTTTGTAAAACGTAGGTACCCAATACAAACAAGATAATTCCTCAGATTTGCTGTTAAATGTAATGTTCATTGAAGAAATGAAGAACTTATGATTCGCCTTGTCAAATGATATGTTTTTTTTAAGTTAGATTACCCGAGTGCTCATTTATTCCTAATTCTTTTACAAGACACTCGTAGTAGTACGATTTACACAAAAAGACAGTATTATTTGGAGATTTTTTCCGCAGGAACAACATCATTTTTATCGTGAAGAGATGATAGACATTTCACAGCTTCATTAAATTTGTCTTTGAAAACGGACAATGGTCGATCATTCGCACAGTTTTCAACTTATGAATTCGACGTTTTGTCAGAGACCTGATTTTTTAGACCCATTCTGACAAAGTGTCCAGTACAGCGCTTTCTCTATTAGCCCATGCTCTGGCGTAGTCCTCAAAGGAATTCATAATTATTTTGAAGGTATGGTTCCAATTGATTTCAGTAAATTTCATTAATCCCTGTTACCAAAAAATCACGTTTCTTCAACAATCATTTACCTGGGTACAAAAATTTCAAATGTTAGAGAAACGTGAACACACCGTCCTGTAATGCAGGTCGTACTAGATGAAGATCGGGGAAAATTGGACTACGACTGGAATATGAAGGTATATTGGATAGGAGCATAAATTTTGCCTCGCAACAGACCACCTACGAATCCCTCAAACTGGCTTACCATATTTATATTTCCAATTCACCCATGGTGGTCAATTGTTTCGAAAATTACACTACTAGTATGCATTAACGACGTTATTTTTTTGGTATTTCAGTCTTATAAACGAAGGAAATGATCGCTTCTTCCTGAAACTTTTAACGACTATTGAAAATGGAAAATTGTACAGTAAAACCGCAATTGGCAACATTACACGATAACTATATAATGAATTAAATGTTTTAACAATCGGTAGTTTGCATTTTATTCAGGAAAAATAATGACCTTACACAGGTCACTGTTGTATGCCTTGAAGCAAATTGCATCGAAACTTGGTATTCGGGTGGACTCTTCAAAAGAATTACCTATTGTTCTGAAAGGACATAACTCCATATTTATAGGTATATAAACATAGGGCGCAGTACTAGCCAACAGTGACATACATTTATTGTCTATGCTTCCAAGTTAGTTATGCTAATAAGTTAGAGACACTCAGGAATTTCCACTTTAATCGTGACGTCGTGCTTAAATTTTAACACATGTATCTCCATCAATATACTGATTCCACAGACGTAGCCAAACATTTTTTGTCGTATTTGTACCAATATGGAAAAAAGGGAGTTTTTCATTTTCTTGCAAATAATTTTGCAAAATGCCTGTTTCCACTATAACAACTGTTAGCATTTCGTTTTTTATAATGGTCTATTCTAAAATATGTTGAACGATCATGCATGTCACACAATCATGTAAAAGAATGAGAATAATTTATCAGGAATACTTGTGAATTTACTTGTAGTGTGCATCAGAAAACAAATTAAAATTAAAGTTTATGTTAATATTTTCTGTTAGCTGTTTGTTTTGTTTAATGCTGAAATTACATTTTAAACAATTTCACAGTAGCTGTAGTTTAAAGTGTTTTACATCTAATATCTGTAACTATTGTGGGGAAAAAACTCCAACAATGTAAGTTCCATTTATTTTGTTTTAAATATATATATATTTTGAACTTGTCAGTAGATTGCAAAGTTATTTTGACAGACAAACAACAGTACACGAACACCATATAGAAAACTAACGACTGAGCAACTCGAACCCCACCAAAAGAACAGGAGGTGATTACATGTGCTCAAGATCGGGAAGCAGATCCTGTAACATATTAACGGCCCTGTTTGTGAAAGCTATCTTCGGCACCAGATGATTTTCCGATATTTTTTTTACTACACGGACTTCGAACCTTACTGTTGCCACGTTGTTTACATACGTCAGAGATAACTTGAAGTATAAATGAAAGGCTCAAAGGACAACTTCTTGATGAATAAAAGGGCAATAGACTCTTTTCATATAACCGACTTTTGACTCAGGAGTATATAGTTTTTCAACAGGTTAACGACTCTGTGGTAGGTGAAATTCTGGTTCTCGGCCAAGTAGCAGTAACTATAAGAAGTAAAATAAAGAATGTCCAACTATAAATGATTAAGTAGGTGACCTGCAAAAAATCATATACTGGATGTACTCCGGAGTCAAGTGTAGGTTACATGAAAATGACTATTCAGCGTACATTAATTGTGAGGGTTATTCAACATTCCTTGCATCTGAATGAAAGTCAGCCCAATTAGTTCATATTGATCCTGTATGAGCCTTTCTTCAGTTGCATTTGTTTTCAGTCAGGTTTTGTTGTTATTTTAAGTCATTGGCTGGTTAATGTGTCATACAATTAGTATTTTCATATTAATCTCGTTTTGTGTTCTCATACAGACGTTTTGTGCCTCAATCAGGCTATATTGACCCTCTGCACTACAAAAGTCTAAAAGTCTGAAAAGACCAGTTTTTGTCTTAATTTGCATGAACTTTCACTCGACATTCTCCAAAAGTATGACTTGTGTCTTAATTTTTCTTGACAAATTCTCATTTATATTAAATTTGTATGAAATTTACTCGACATATTCTCGACATTCTGAATATGGTCTTAAAATTTCTTGACAAATTCTTGACATTTGAATACTGTCTTGAAATTTCTCGACATATTCTCGACATTCTTATTTTTTCTCAGTATGGCTTGACATATTCTGAACATTTTGAATCGTGTCTTAAATTTACTTGACAGTTCTGAGTTTTACAAATTATGACCAATTTAATATTCATGATATAACTTTAATCTTTATTTCTCTTTATATGATATACTGTTGTTTCAAGTATACTTCTTTACAACAAAAATAAAAGTTGGGCATGTAAAATAATTGAAAATTTGGGTATATAAATATTTTTACAAATGCAAATATGGCTATGAAATCTGAAGTATAAAATAATTCAAATGTGGGTGTGTTGATATAAAACAATTTCAATATGGGTTTTTAAATAATTACAAATTTTGATTCCTAAATCTTATAAATTAAATGATTCAAACCAATCATACTGTAGACATATTTCGTTCTACATTCATAATATTCAATATTGATATGGTAAATAAATATTATACCAAAATGTGGTTTATATAAATAGCAAATTATGATGATATACAAATCATTCATTTAACAGAAGAAAAATTTGTGTAATGTCATCTGTTGGAATATATTAAGTATTACACATGGACAGGATGTTCTCCATAAAACTAAGGTATTCCACACACCAGAGTACACGCAACTGTCAAACAGAAGTTATTGCTTTACCTGTAATCAGCCATACAACTTATCAGTTGACCGACCATGCCACTACAATTTAAAAAGTTTGTTGATAGATGAAAATGAAAATCATCATTTTGATGAAAAACAATTGAATTGAAATGGATTTTCTTCATCAAAATTATGAAGTTAATTATTTCATACATAAAAACAAATTGAATAAATCCCAAAGATTAAAAGAAAATTATTATCTACTCCAGGAATAATAAAAAAAAATGTATTTATAATGGGTCCCATCAATGATTTCTATAGAAATTATCGGTCTTATGAAATGGTTCTCAAACAGACATGCACAATATAGATCTAAACATTTTTTTTTTTCAGGAAGGAGTTATCACAAATATTTATTTTTGTTAAAAAATTATAAAATTCAACATTCAAATTTGAATATAAAATGTTTTTGGGTTGTTCTAAAAAATGAATAAGGTTTTTTAATCAAGATGGGAACAAATTCTTTGACATAAACGAAAGCCCCCCCCCCCCCCCCCCCCCCCCCTCTTTTTTTAGCCACACACACGCAAAAGATGAATTGTGGGGTCCAAAAGAGATACAAGACACCTATTTCAGTAAAGCAAATTTGACTGGCAGTTTTGCGAACGGCAAAAATCTAAATGCTGTTTGTCAATACCTTCGACTTATATTCCAAGGGAAAACAATTACTCAAATGTTTAATAAAAATAAATCAAAATTAAACTACATGGTGGATTATTCAGGGTATTCGGACCGTATTCCAACTTAGTTGCACCAAAAGGGTATCTTACTATACCAAATTAAACCTTGATTCTTCAAAGTTAAGTTTAGCCATAATAAAAAGGAGTATACAACAGCAATAGAATGTCATAAACAGTGCAGAATAAGTCTGTTCACATTTCAGGCGAATTTTATACTGTTGAGATAGTGTCAAGACATATTTAAGACTGTCAAGAATGTGTCGAGACATATTCAGACATTATTTAGAATGTCAAAAATATGTCGAGACATATTCAGACATTATTAAGAATGTCAAGAATATGTCAAGACAGATCGAGACAAATTTAAGACAGTCAAGAATTGGTCGAGACTAATCCAGACTCTTATCAGATGATACAGGAAGTGTCGAGAAATTTTAAGACAATGTTCATACTGTCAAGACACTTGTCAAGAAGAATCAAGAACCTTATTAGACAAATTCATACTATGTCAAGAATTTTTAAAAATTATTCAGACAAATTTAGAATGTCGAGTAAAAATTCATGCAAATTCAGACAAAAACTGGTCTTTTCAGACTTTTTGACTTTTGTAGTGCTGGTACATGTACGCCTCGAGCCAATGAACCTAACGTCGACCCATAACGATTGTACTCTGACATAAAATATGATTAATATGAAAACATAACATATATCATTATCTTATAACACTGTACTATTGATTTTAAAATCCTTCACAAGTAATTTGGATGTCTTTGACTAATGTCCTGTACACTGTTCGTGACTTTTCTGTATAAAATTGTCTTCCAATACATATTTTGAGTATACGATATCAATCAAATTAGATCGTTATAACTTTGAAGATGCTCCGAAGCTTCTAACAATATTGCTTTTGCCAGTAAATCAAATTACTGCGTGAACACTCGGGTTACACCACATACAATAACATAGCTTTTGATAAGGATGAGATCTTTTAAATCAGCAAATATTCCATTAGGCAACACAATTAAGGACTTGTCTAGTTTGTATTGGATACACAAACTGTTCAAAGATCCGTACAAACAACGGTACATTGCCGGCTCATCTACGTGATTCAACCAGGAAATACAGTTAGTTATTTACATTGACCAATTTGAAAATGTCTGCAGTGAAAGATGGATTTCAGAAATATTATGACACTATTTACTCGCGTAATAAAATTAACCGTATGTTGTTTTTTAATAACTGTAAAGAATTTCTGATTTAAAATATCGATTCTTTAATGAAATAAATTTTATCAACACCTTCTATCTTTCCATCCTTTACACCACCATACCAAATGAAATATTCAAAATCCGTGTACAAGAAATAATACGCAATGATTTTCTATTTTAAAATGGTACCATGCGCTACTTGAAATTTTTTGCATACAATTCAACATTCATTTTGGTAAATTGAACCCGTGCATAGTGTTATTTTCCTTTGATATATCCTCGTATTTATATTTTACTTAATGTATTTTTATCAGAAGTGTGTATATTCTATTGCAAAATCATGCAGTCAGAAACTAATTTTTGTTTTTAAAAAGCACATCTTCTGTTCTTTTAAAAATCTCATGTTATGTTATTTGGAAAACAATAGTAAAAAAAAACAACAAAAAAAAAACGTTTGGTAATGCTGTACTGTTGCTTTTTCGCCATTCTGTATAATTATCCGGATTGCTATCGTTGATGATCTTTACAATCAATGCGTCGATTCCAAAGCTGGTGGACGTTTCCCTTACCCTGGAAGTCAGCAAATCCGAGTCGACATGAAATTGAATTTGCTCATTGTTAAAGGCCGTAAGGTGAACTATAGCTATACACATCCTCGTCAGATTGCTTTGAGTTCGTTGTTGCTTAACTGGGAATCATATCTTATTTCTGTTTTTCTATTTCGTCTTTAATCTTAAGACAAAAGAAAAATAACTTTGCCCCGTCCCGTCCCCTTAAATGTTTTTTGAAACTAAAACATAACGAATTCAAGTAGTGTCGATGTAATTCAAATATTTTTGGATCTGGCTTTTAGTCAAATTGTATATTATGATAGATTATTTACAAAAGGACATTCAAATGTCTTTTTTAAAACGTGTTCATGAAGCTAACAAACGGTAACAGAAATACTCATGTCATTTATCGATAGAGTTAACATAATACTAATTTTTTTAATATTGAATATCTGTAAATTTTGGACGTTCAGATTTGTGAATAATTTGTAAATATCTACAACAAATATAGGTTGGAAAAAACAATTACTCACTTTCTCAATAAAAAGGTAGTTTTTCTCTCTTCCCTTTATCTAGTTGATAAAATATCATGGTGTAAACAAACATTTCATTTAAAAAAATTCAAGACCGTTTTATTTCAGTTTTGATATTAATATTTTTAATTTTTTATTATTTGATTCTACTTGACAGTTGCACATCGTATGGATCAGTTTCGTGTGTATCTAGAGAATGGAACTGCAGACCAAAGTAGCGATCTTGGTCTCTGCTACACAGACAAAGGAATACCTGGCTATCCTGCCATTACTCAAAACATAACTTGTAATATGCTTGCCAAAAATATGTATTTCGTCAACAGAAGAAACAATGTGGAATGCTTTGTTGAATTGTGCTACATAGCAATCTATGGTAAAGTATTCCAATGTAAACGTTACATTATTTATGTAAGAGTCAATATAGTTTCGTAATTAAATTCCTGGGGAGAAGAAATTTCCAATATTTATATTTGTGCAAAAGTTTTAAGCATTTATTCTGAAGGGTTGAGGTAGGATTGTTTGATTTACAAAACTAATTCATTTTAAATAGTAAACGAAAAAATAATTGTTGATTTAAAATTTAAGAAAAAAAAATTTAGTCCTAAGTTTTTCGACACATTTCGGTTACAACCGGCTTTTAGCTTTGTCGTGTCATTAGCACTGCAACGAGAAGCATGTTATACTGTATGCTTTTATGTAATGGTGTTATTATATTTTTTGGACCCTGGTTGCTCTTTAGTGTACTCTCTGTATGTAACTAATAGATTATACCATCTCAATGAGAAAAGCACACAACATCTACCCATGCAGATGAATGATTAATCGAATGTTGAAATATCGGATAATTTTACAAACAGGTAAACTAAACATTTAAGTGATGTATATGATTTAATTGAGCAGCCTAAGGTTTAAGAAGCCAGTGTAATATTACAACGATCGTTCAATATGTCCATGAAAATATAGAAAAACACCTAAGTATAATCGGCCATTCAAAAGAATAAAAATGAGCTACTGAAAAAGGAATATATTCTAACTTACTTTCTATACATAGTTCTATAGTTTGACATCGGACTCGGCCTTGTTTTGAACTGAGTTTTACTGTGCGTATTGCTGTGTGTTTGTTTATTCTACATTGGCTAGTGGTATAGGGGGAGGATTGAAATCTCACAAGACATGTTTAACCCCGCCGCATTTTTGCGCCTGTCCCAAATCAAGAGCCTCTGGCCTTGTTAGTCTTGTATGTTTTTAAATTTAGTTCATTTATATGTTTCAGAGTTTAGTGTGACGTCCATTTTCACTGAACTAGTACACATTTTGTTTAGAGGCCAGCTGAAGCCCGATTGCGGGTGCGGGATTTGCTCGTTGTGTTCAAGACCCATTGGCGGCCTTCGTCTGTTTTCTGCCCTTTGGTCGAGTTGTTGTCTCGTTGACACATTCCCCATTTCCATTCTCAATTTTGTATATTGGGGAAATTACACCTTTTGCGCACCCAGTTGTATTTTAAGAAATAAATAAATAACGAAAATGTCTGATGATTGAGTTGATAATAAAAAACTACAATATTATAATGAATATTAAAAACAAAAATAAAAACACAAATTGGTCATCGTGCATACATAGAAAACCCTGCATTAATGATTGTTTTCAGGGAAACTGAGTATAAAATTATCTGAAAATATTCAATTCAGAATAGCTATTGGTTCTATTGGTTAAACGTTTCCTTATAATTTATAAAAAAAGTAATGTATAATATGGACAGTATAACAATCTAAAATATCACACTGTTGCCATGGAAATAAATTACTTATAGTACCGAAGATGGCAATATTATTCCTCACGTTAATATACAATGATAATACTTAAAAGTCAAAGCCCGATACAACAATTATGAAGAGTTGTTCTTATCCAATATTATCAAATTAAACAAAAACTGAATGGTTGAACTTGAATATGACAGAAAAAGAGTCATATTAAGGCTTGCTTATTATGAACCAAATAGTATAAACAGAAAATGTGTTTCAAGGAAGTAATATATTTTAATTAGATGGATTTAAGGTCATAAAATTCCACAAGATTTACAAAAAAGATAAAGTTATGTTATGTACCTGAAAGGCTGATTCGTATTTAACACACGTGCACAAACATTTTGTAGACCTCTTAAGAAGAAAGTCTCTTATTGTATCCAAATCTACAGGAAATTTACTGCTATTTAATTATTGTCTTCTTGTACTCTAATTCACCGACACCTTTTCCAAATGCTGTGACCTTAGCATCACCCCTCGCGTAGAAACTCCGTTTTTGTAACATTTTGGTGTATTTTCAAATATGTTACCAAATTATACGTGCCTAAAGATTACTCAAAACTGCAATTTGGACAGATTTTTGGTATTTTAAGTATTTATCCAAGACACATATACCATGTTTACGAAGAGCATCCTTACTAACTAAAGCCCAAATTATGTGGGAAGTAAAGCTATGGATAGTCTTTTGAGTACACAAAAATGCAGTTTGGTTAAGGAGAAAAATACATGAAACTTGACCGTATCTATCTTTTATTTTCCAGTAGCATAGAAGTAGTAAATTTGAATATCGAAATCGTATCGAAGTCAACTTTAATTCATATTGCCATGCAGTTTCAGATTGGATAAGTTTTCAGAGAAATTTAAGTTATTGTTTTCTTCCAAATGTAGTATATATGATTGTACTTGATGCATGTAGAAGTTGATGTGCAATTTGTAATATTGCTGCAAAAGCACATTATTTTGCAAAACAGTAGAAGGAACGACTTACGTCAAAAGTTTGCCCTATTATCCACAGGGTTACGTTGGTAATATAATATATAAATAATTTCCACATGTTCCAATAAGAATAAGAATTCCTCTTATTATCTTATCACATTTATTTCCATTTCGACAAAGAAAAAAATGAAAGATTAGAACCTTTTTTATGATGAACATAGGGCTCAAAGTTTACTTGTAATGTTTAGAAAAACGTTTTTCGTCTCAGCATAAATAAAGCAGTTAGTTTTCTCCCTTAACTTTGTTTACATTTTGACATGTCATGGCCTCCCATAGCTTACCGTACGGTATTGGGTAAGCTCATTGCTGAGGGTCGTATGTTGACCTCTAGTTGTTTACATTCTCGGTCTTTTGTCTCTGAGTAATATTTGTCTTATTTGGAATCATAGCAGCAATGTAGCATCTGCCTTTTTATATTATAATAATATATATAACAAATATTATAAAAATATCATAACTTGTATCTTATTAATAAAATTCTATTAAATTTGCTATACGTATTTCAGGTTGTGATGAATCAAAGGGTATTGGTTAAGGTCACTTTGTAATCGTATCTTCAATTGTATGTCGTAAGGTTATTGCAAGGAAGGCCTCATATAAATAAACCAGAAAAATAATGTCGACCATATAATATAGATTAGCTAGGAATGAACTTTCATCTGAGAAAGTTTTTATTATTTGTATAAAGGTGGTCAGAGTTTGTCGTTGACTTCTAATCTTATATTATAACATTGGACTCTGATTTGAGAACCGAACAGACGTCGATTTGAAACTGGACGTCGATCTGAGTAAAATAAAAATATAAATTATAAATGCACAATTATATTTAAAAACAATAACCTGACAAATTTTATGTTTTTAGGATGCTGGAAAGGTACATGGGGAAGAAACTGTACAGAATTATGCCCGCTGAATTGTATTAATCAAAACTGTTATCCTGAAACAGGATTATGTGTTTGGGGATGTGATGCACTAAACTGTTTGAATGATAAATGTGATAATGAAACAGGTTCTTGTACTGATGGATGTGTAATTGGACAAGCCGGACAGTATTGTAATATGCGTAGGTATTTTCTAACGATGTGCGTAAAGATATTATCGAATACTTGTTTCTCATAATTGAGTATTTTAATAAACGAAGATAATTTGCGTATATTTAATAGTCTGCAATACTTTTTTGTACAATTTCCGAACTTTAACTATAATTTCCTTTTCCTTTTTTTAATTGAATAATTGCTTCAAAGTAGGAAGAATTCTGAAACTAGTTTAAATCCACATTGTCATCACCATAATCACGTCACATGTCAATGCATCGGAGGTTGTAAAGAAAGATTGGAAGACAATAATTGCTCAAAAAGGTTTGCTAAAAGAACGACTTCCATAGAATGAAGTATGTTTATGTTTATTTATGATCAATTAATGAAAATTCATTTTCTATGTAGTCTGTTTAATTCACTTACTGCACACTTAGAACATACATTCATTATCCAAGAACAATAAAGTCCATTACAATGATGTATAAATTATTTAAAAAGACTTGAGTAGCAGAATCCCCAAAAGGCACTTGAAAAGAATAAGCAAATCCATAGTAGGTAAACTTTGCCAGATCTAGCTGAATTCTAGATATTTTTTTAATTAATCAACGGGGTATATGACATTTGTAAGTAAATAATCAGATCAACAATTCACTATTCTAGAATTTGATTTAGATTCTTTAACAATCTTTTTACAATACTGTTAACAACTGAAATTTATGGTTGTACAAATTACAACTGATCAAAGCATATGTCATGTTAGCATCAGGGTAGATAACATAAATAATGTCCTACGAAAACAAACATTTTTTTTTATTTAAAAATTAAGATAACTGCGATACCTCTAATATATTTTTCTCTAAAGCTCCACCAACATTTAACATCAAATCATATGTGCAAATGTACAAGTGATTAAATCGACACAAAGACATATATATTTCAAATCGATTTGAATCAAATATCCACGGTTCCTTCACCTTCAAATAAATCATTCCAATCCTTCGTTATTGCTGTTTTCGAATCTAACTTTTATTGCAGAAAAACATCATATTATTTGAATCAAGGTATTCAGTCCTTCAGTATTTGCCTTTCTCCAATTTTGCCTTTCTCTAATAAATCTATCGTTAACTAAGGACGTAATTTATAACTCCTTATTTACTCCCTTCATCGTGTTCAATTTGAACTGTGTGAGTGTTAGCTATAATTCATCCTGGCTCTTAATACTTCTCAGTATGTACTGTTTAACCTCAGCTTTGATAAAGCAAGATAATACATATCTATTGTTTCAGCTACGTATGTGGGGAAATATAAAAAAATAATTAGTGAGTTTTAAATATGTCCTCAAATCAAACAGATTTCATAGTAGAAATATACAATCAGACATATCCTTTAGTAACGTTTGTGTTGGTTGCACAATAGGACATATGAATGTATTCAGTTATTGTGTTTATTTGATTGACAATATGTCGTGCAATTGGCACTATATTTTAAATACTCATCCCAACACTATTTGGTATTTTCTATATCTTTTGAATTTAATTTGTAGGTTTTATCTACAATTTGTCCGGGTCCATATATGTTTTTCTTACCATTTTTAGGTAATAACAGTTTTTTTATGGTGTATTCTCCTTTTAAACAAATGTCATGTATTAACATTAGATCTAAGATATTTAAAATAAAATCGATATTTACTTCTGTAATGCTGAAAACTCAGTTGCATGTATTAGCATCAGATATCCATCATTACGACGTTGCTTTTGTCAGTCTTTTAATTATCATTGACTTGTCAATTAATGAAGTGTTGATCATCAACCTTTTGAGAGGATTTAGAATATCTTTAAATTATCGAATCTGCATAGATGACAACTCTTATTTGGTTTTGAAACTATACTGTTAAAGTGTATGACAGCTGTAAAGTGTGATGCATCCCGTTTCCTCTAATTGTTATACGATTTATACCTTTCCCGACCGGTTGATTCTTTTTTGTAGTATAACCAATGTGTCGATCGTTCGATCCCAGTTCTGTATTAGTCAAATTTAATTATGACGTAAAATTGTCTTCTTTTCTCAGTACTTTTTTATATTGACGTCATGAAGAAAGGCAATCAAGCCTGAAGATAGAAAGAACACATATTTTTAAAGATCATTTAAAAAAAAAGTTAAAGTTTGTCCACGTATCGTTCAAACATCATTATCCAAACAGATTCCACCAATGTTTTTCGTGCAACACGATATTTCTTTACTTTTGACAGTTAAATTTCAAATATTCAATAAACTCGGCAACTCTCGAGTGTTGATATCAAAATTAAATTTTCGACTGGATTGGTATTTTATGTTTCTGTTTTCAATTATACTTTCTCTATTTGAAGATAGATCGACTATCGACTATCGATTTCTATGCATGATGATAGAAATACTGGTTGCCTTTGTATCAATTCACAGACGGGTCATTTAATTAGTGCCACATTCTAGAATGATATGATCCAGTAATCATAAAATGAAAAGTAACGCGTCATTAACATACCTTCAGGAAATTCCCTAGCAGAAAATCACAAAAGCATGGGTTGAGATTCCGGAGAGGGAAAACTGAATTTTGCTACCTCAAATTTACAGATCTAGCATTGTAAGGTTTAAAAACATTTCAATTTAAACATATATTATCTGGGCACACAATGACATCTATATTACTATAATGCATTGTAGTACTAATTATTTAAAACTATTTTAGAATGTGACAATGGTTTTTACGGTTTTAATTGCAAAAAACAGTGTGCAACATGCTTTAACATGTCGTGTGAAAGATTGGAAGGAAATTGCTCTTATGGCTGTATTGACGACAGATACGAAGGGATGAGGTGCCAAACCTTAGGTATGCTTAGTTGATCAATGCAATTGATTAGTGTTTGCAATCAGCAAAACCTAATTGTATATACTAGGTCTCGGAATCTACATACTAAAATTCTATAGAAGCATACTAAATAAAATCAAGATATATATATATATACAATATTAGTAAAGTATAAAAAAAGATAGAAAATATTTATAAATGGCTGAGAAACAAAGTAAAATGCGAGACGTTGCCCCTGTATCGCACAGAGTAAACATATTTTCTTTACTTTTCTACTCTATGTTAATATTGTTTTATCCAGTGATTTTGTTTATTTATTGATTTTTAAACAATTTAGCTATTTGTAAAAAGTTTTTTATTATTGATTTTTTAAATCTTATTTTCATTTTTTGAAAAATATGATCTTGGAGATCGTTAACTTTTGTAATTTTTGATAATTAATGATTTAGTATTGTAAAATTGAGAATGGAAATGGGGAATGTGTCAAAGAGACAACAACCCGACCAAAGAGCAGAAAACAGCCCAAGGCCACCAATGGGTCTTCTTCACAGCATGAAAATCCCACACCTGGAGGCTGGCTACAGCTTTCCCCTAAACAAAAATGTATACTAGTTCAGTGAAAATGGACATTTTACTCTCTTTTTTTTCTTACTATTTTAGCTTCATAAACTGTGGTTAATATTAGCACGTGCAAAAATATGAAAAATGAAAAAAATAAAACACACGTCTATCATTATAGTTTGTAAACTGATAGAAAAACTGGAGTATACTGAATTGTCCCCGAGAAAACGATTTAGTCACTGTGTAATCCAAATATTTGACTGTTATAAACTTCCAAAATACATGTAGTTTACTTGTTGTAACAATGTGTGAGTGCTATTTGTATTTTTAAAAGAATACATATTACTAGTGATAATGATTACGGAAATACAGGGACTAAATGTTTTCTTTGCTAAGGCATCAATAAAAACTAAAGATATTTACGAGAACAGTTACTTAGACAAGAATAATAGAAGTAAAGATATGATATATCAAAGACTGTAATTAAGTTTACTATTTAATCCGTGTTGTCTAAGATACTAGATACTTACACGGAAAATCCAGCTTACTGCCATTGTTTCGACCCTATAACTGCTCTAATGTACGTCATTTGGAGGTGTTCTATATAGACACATTTTGATGATGATGATGATGATGATGATGATGATTCGATTTTGTTTTCGAAAAAAAACATACCTAAATAACTTCTAGTACTCTTATGTCGGTGCTTTGTGTCTATTGTTTTATGTCAGTTGTTTAGTCCTTGTACCGATCGTTTGAGTTAAGCCAATTGCAATTGATTTTTATAGTTTGTTATTGTAGCCGACTATTCGGTTTGAATTTTCTCATGTTTCTACATTCATTGTTGTAGGTCGAACGGTGCCCTAAATTGGCCTATAATGGCTTATATCAACTTCATTGAATTCTTGTTGTTATTTGGTCTCATTGGCAATCATACCACAGCTCCTCATGTTTGTATGAAAGATGTAGGCATGAATATATGTAAAACAATCTACATTATTTTTGTAGAGAATGGAGAGTTGAACACCAAAGACAATAAAATCAGCGCATCAATAGGAGGAGGCATGGGGGCTGTAGTTGTTATCATTGTTGTAGTAGCAATACTAATTATTATATACAGGTAAACTATCTTGCCAATTGTTTAGATATTTGTAGGTGTTTCGTTATATGCTAAAGGTTATGCATTTCCTTTGAATAATCCGGAGGGAAGGCAAATTTATAATAAAAAATAAGGTACATTGTAATTAGATTGCAGAAATCGGCCTTAGTTTGAGTAATTTGTTTTTTTTTATACCACAAAGAAAATCGAATTGTTCACACAAAAAATTACAAATGAAGATACAAAATTAGCAATCAATCACCGTTTATAAAACTAATTTAACCTTTGATATGATAAAAGATAATAAATAAACGCTCAAACAAACATAAATAATGATAAAAACCATTACCTTTCATTTGGTAAAAGTTAGATGTCAATGGAAAAAGTAAAACAAGGACACAATACACAATACACATTACACAAAAAAGAAAAACAATAGTCCACAAAATACTTAGAATAAAGCTTCAAACTGAGCAGTAGGGCCCTGACAAACATGCATGTACTTACATTATCACATATCTGGATTGTATTACGCTTCCAACTTGAATACACGGCTATATGCACTATGTGTGAAAATTAATGCTACCTCAAACTTTCAATTAAATAGAAATTATTATAGTATGTAAAAAGACGTATGTCTGTCTATCGCAAGGTTGAATTAATTTTAGTATCACATCAACTTTTATCATACTAAATTGTATGAACTGTTGTGTCATTAACATGATTAATGTCATTTGTAGGCGTAGATCTAAATCTAAAAGGGAAAAGTATAAACGAAACCAAAACAACATAAGAAGAAGCGACGAAAACTCTTATTGCAGTGAGTAAATCATCACATTTAGTTAAGGTAACACGATACCGAATGACATATCTCCCGATTTCTAAAATTTTTGGCACACTGGTACTTTGAATCGAGCTACATCGGAATATGAAATAATAAATGGGGGTCACCATTCTTGTTTTTTTTGTAATTTTGATAACTAAATGTCAATTTTGGCGCCAAATTTACATACATATATAGGGAAAATGCCTTTTTTTCGACTTACTTTTCTAGATTTTTCAATGGATGGCTATTTTCTAATATACGAAGAAAGACTAAAAACTAACATAATATCCAGGATTGTACACTAAATCCATACATGTATAAAAAAACATATGTCACTATCCTTGTTTTTTAGATAAATCGCTTCAAAGATGACCGATATGCTTAGAAATTGACAAAAATATGTGACGTTACGGAATACAGAATAACGTTTTTTTTATTCAGAGGGATTGAAAAAAAAATATGTAACGGGATCTGAATGGTGTTTGTTATTTTATTTTTATTCCCCCTGTCGGAAATTTCCTAATAATTCAATATAACATTCTAATGAGTTAATTTTATTTCGCCCTAACTGGGTGCACTTTTAGCTTTCAAAACTGAATCTTCAACTTTACTTAACCCTACCAAACTAGACAATGCTGTTGACACCTATGTATCCATGCATGAATAAAATAAAGTGCTTTAAAAATGTTATGTAAACAGTGATATTGAAGTACAATTTGAATTTATTGATTGATGGTTGCTTAACGTCCAGTGGCAAACATTTCATGGATTTTCAGGACGATACAATACAATATTTGAAAAGTTATGTCTAAAAGACACATTTGATGCAGCCGTCAAAAAAGATTACACATTCTGTTAGTTGTGAAAATTATAAAGAAAATCAGCATCCTGATAAAATACGTATTCTATAAATATAGTATACTCTGTATGATATAAACGCGTGGGTTGTGTGCGTAGTTAGTCAGACAAACCTTGCAAACTGTATGCAAAATTTCACATGAATAGACAATGTTCAACATTCTGTCATTCGTGGAAAATTATTAAAAAAAAAAAGATCTTGAGAATATACATGCAATATAGGTATAAAAAAAACTTGGTGCAATATATTATCAAAATGCCAAATTCAGCAACCTGTAATAAAAAAATAAAAATCTGACAAGATGCGCGTATTGTATATGTACTAACACCAAGTACATAATTTAAAAGTTAAAGCTTTAAAACTGTAATCCTAAAAAAAATCAGCCGTATAAACTCTATATACCAAGTAAGGGACGGACTGTCGAAGGACACGGGTAAAACAATATGCTTTCAAACTCATAGATCGAAAACAAACTGACAACGCCATGGCCAAAAATAAAAAGACAAACAGACAAATAATAGTACAGATGACACAACATAGAAAACTGAAGACTTAGCAAAACGAACCCCACCAAAACTGGGGGTGATCTCAGGTGCTCCGGAAGGGTAAGCAGATCCTGCTCCACATGTGGCACCCGTCGTGTTGCTTATATTATTACAAATCCGGTAAATAGTCTAATTCGGTAGGTCACATAGGTGAAACGGGAAGGGTATTGTAGTTACGACATAATGAACATATCCGATATCATCTGTGAAACGGTTATTTCATAACGGTCAACCAACTCGTGATGGCGTCCGTAAAATTTACGAAGGGATGATTTCAACTTTACCATTTGGAACTCTTGGCTTAATAGCTTCCTTGTGAGCAGCAATCCTCTATCAAGGAAATCATGATAGGAAACACAAGCCCGGGAATATCGTATCAATTGGGAGATATATACTCCGTATGCAGGCGCTGCTGGAATGTTGCTACATAGAAATGGAAAGTACACAATTGGGAAGCTGAAATCATCTCTTTTGTCGTAAAGTTTATGTAATTTATATAAATCATTTGGTGACAAAATATCTTTTTGAATATGCAGTTCATAGTGGAATGTTAATATGGAGAGCTCAAATGTAGCAACGTAAGAAAGCTAACGTCTACGTCATTTGGTCTTTGAATGAAAGTTGTCTAATTGGCAATCATATCACATCTCCTTATTTCATAAGCGATTGAGTTTTCTCCTAAAATACAAGAATTTTAAAGACTTAACAAATACGTACTAGGAGACTGAAATATGTTGCTGTTATAAAATATACTTATCAACTTTCCAATTCAAGGGACCAACGAATCTTCACTAAAACTACAAATTAGCATTAAAAAAATACTCGTCCATCCTGCATTAGTCACGTGTTATATAAATGTCTTTGGTTTTGTGTGTCGTTAATTGGCTATTTGCTGTTTTATTGTATATCCCACATTTCCATTTATGCACACAAAGAAAAAAAAACCCTTTTAATTTACATAAACTTTTGTATACTTGTTGTAAAAACTCCTTTTAAGACTGCGAAGTATCTCGGGCTTTTACCGACGACTATGTGAGCAATATGCCCATACCCCAAAAGGCACCTTTGCTAATCGTCTGTGAGTCGTTTTGTCCCCCACTTTGTGAAAAGGTGCGTTTTTATCAGCTGTACTTGTACATCATGTCCAACACCAAAACACCAAAAACACACCCCTCCCCGAAGACAAAGTGCAAATTAATATGAATCTAAAATAAAATTGATTTTAAGATCTCGTTGGATTTTTGTCCCCGCGCGCGCGTTGTGGTAGACATACAAATACCGGGCGTCCGTTCTTCCGTCCGTTCGTTTGTTTGTCCGGTCTTATCAGCTCTCTGACATGTACAATTCTTGCCTGATTTTTATACAGCTTATATATTAGGTTTATATCAGCATTTTCGCTGAAAAGTTTGAAAATCAATGCCAATCAATTTTTTTTTGAAAGAGCCATGCCCCTTGATTAATTAATTAATTAATGAAAAATTGCATTTTTAAGCGCTCTCACGTGTACAATTTTTGCCAGATCTTTGAATAATTTATATTAAAGGTTTATATCAGCATTGTCTTGGATAATTTCGAAGGTCAGTGCTGATTAAATATTTTTAAAAGAGTTATGTCCCTTGGAAATAATAATTATATCGGAAATTTCATTGCATTTGCTCTCAAATCTGCATTTCTCTATTAACGGGGGTGGGATGGGGAGCATTGAAACTGTTTTTTTTTAATCAGTTTGATTTGCCGTTTGAATAAAATGGGTTAATGAAACTATCGTTTTGTAGCGTGTTTGCGGTCGAAGTGCTTTTCTGGATTAACCTTCATCGAAGCACCGATCATTCATTCATTGTGGGGCCACAGGTTTTTAATTAATCGTTTGATTGTAAATTTTGAGAAATAATTTATTTCAGAATGGAATTGAAGGAAAAAGATGTAACGGAATCTGAATGATTAAATTTTATTTCGACCTAACCGAGTGCGCATTTAGTGTTGACATTCCATATGTTTAAGCCTTTTTTAACTTTCTCCTTATTCCGATGTAACTGTCCTGTTTAGACTGTGCTTATAAAGTTACAATGCTAGTAGTTTGTTTTAAACAAGCTTCCGAAACCTTATCGGATTTCTTCTGTACAGTCCAATAAATTTCAAATAAGTTTACACTTGAAACATAGGGAATGTTGTTCGGCCAATTAGCCAATTTCAACAACTCTTCTTTTTTCATTCCATGCCAATAAACCAGTATCTGCCTGAGTTTGTTGTTCTGCTTGCATGTTGTTTTTCCGCTAAATTCTATCGGTATTCTTTTCCAAATAAATTTCCTTTTTCTATTTTGCTAGCGACGTTTTTCGGTGACCATTTAATAAACTCTTATCACAGAGATATGTCTCGCCTTTTTGTAATTTTGATAATGCAAATGTTGAAATTAAAATAGCAATACGTTAACATGTAAGTTATGCAAATATTCAAAGTCGATGAACCATGACTGCAGGTACATGGCTAAACAATCTCAATGGAATGAGATGTGCCAATGCTAATACAACTGCATACCAAATATCATTGACTTATTATAAGTCGTTCCCTTTAAACAAACATAAACACAAATATTAACTTGTAAACTATGTAAAAGTTTCAAAGTCAATGAACCATGATCAGGGGTGGGGCTATATAATCTCCATGGAAACAATACTTGCAAATGCCAATAAATTTGCATACCAAATATCATTGACTAACATTAACAGTTCATTTTAAATTGATCTAATCACAAACTAATACATGCAAACTAAGCAAAAGTTTCAAAGTAAATAGACCATGACTGAGGGGGCGGGGCCAAATATTCTTCATGGAAATGAGATGTGCTAATGCTTATACAACTGAACACCAAATAAAATTGGCCTACCACTAATGGTTCCCCTTGAACTGACCTAATCACAAACTAATACATGTTAACTTAACAAAATTTTCAAAGTCAATAGACCTTGACTGAGGGGGTGGGGCCAAATAATCTCCATGGTAATGAGATGTCCCAATGCTAATACAAATGCATACCAAATATCATTGACCTACCGCTAGTGGTTCTCCATGAACTAGACCAAATCACAAACTAATGCATTGTTGACGCCGCCGTCGCCGACGCCGGAAACAGAATACCTATGTCTCGCTTTTTGACTCCGTCAAAGCGAGACAAAAACGAATGGGCTTCATAGCGGAATTGCATTAATTGTGGTACAATTATCATGCGTTTTTATAATTTGGATTTCTACTTTCAACCCAGAATAAAAAGCTCAGTCTGTTATGCATAAGAATATAAATAGATTAATCGTACACATGCTTACTTATCAATAGAAACAGAACATTTAAAAAGTATATATTTAAATGTGAAGAATGAGAAGAAGAATGGGAGGAAGAGGCCGAAACAATCAATTTCAAATAACGTATTGCATCAAATCCCTCGACATTCTGCATCTATGCAAAGTTATTATTAAAAATGTTAATAAAAATAAAAGGGTAATTTACTATTTATATTTCACCTAAGTGTGATTTTCTTTTTCTTATTTTTGTATTTTGTTTTATCTTTTCTCATTTTTGTTCTTTTATTTGGATCGTAATTATGCAAAGGTTTTTGTTTTGTGATTGAATATGATACGTATAGAAAGCGGCGTGAAAATAAAGGTATTTTTAATATTTAATCATATATATTTGAAAAGGAGTAGGTCCGGTAAGGGCCGATTTTGGCCTCAAAATTCAAGTTCATCTGATGAAAGATTTTGGACACTTTTTAAACACTTAAGTGTCTACTTCAGTCGATTCAATCAGTTTATGTGAAAGATTTGAACTAATTTAGTCATTAAAGACGCTCAAATTCCAGCTTAAATATGAAAAATCTATCAAATATGCCATAATATGTCACTTTTCAGATGGTTTTTGTCAAAAATGAAAGTGGCCGCATCCGTGTTCATTCTCAACCTTTATATATGTTATGTATTATCATCAAATACAACTTACATTTAAATATTCAGAATGAACACAAATGCGGCCACTTCCATTTCAGACGAAAACCGTCTAAAAATTAACCAAAATGCTAAAATTTCGAAGATTTCAGTAATTTAGCATGACTTAATGATGCTAGTACCCGATACATGTGCATTGTATTGTCAAAAACAGCCCATATTTATGTAACAGAATTATTCTTCTTTCCAATAAATAGCTAAAAATTTACATTAATAACAATTTTGTAAAACTGCTATATTTTGGGGCCAAAAAGGGGTCTTACTGGGCCTACTCCTTTGAAATAAAGAAACATTTATCTTTCAACTATTTTATACCAGACTGAGGCAAATTGTTTGTTTAATTCGTTCTAAGTTATTATAAAACATCAGGTTTTACGTTTGCCGTCAATTTCAAAGATGTCGACAACAGCAGGAACGATAACCCAGATAGCACAAAAACATTTTATTGATATTAAGTTTTTAAAATATATTGCAAAATGTCACAAAAATATCATTCAGAAATATTGTTTTGACGTGAAATGTATGGCCGTACTAATGTGAATAGCATATTTTCAGCTGATATTTGTTCTGAATGTTTAAAGAACATTTTTTATAAATATTTTGATTTTATATTTAAATAACATAATTTTGATATCATTCAGACAACATATATATATTCAACGTTATCCAAAAATATCCTTTTCATGTCTAAAATATGTTTTATGGATGTCTACCAAATGTTTTTAAAATATCAGAGGCAAGTTGAGGTAGAAATATCTCTTGAAAATGTTAATTAAATATTTCAACAATGTTTTATGGATGTCTTCCCAATATTCTTAAAACATCTTGGTTAAATGTTTGTAAAAAACATTATATAAATATTCAAAAAACGTTTTATGTTCAGGCCAACTCTCAGCTTGCAAATATATCATGCATATTTAGACTAAAATTTATCAGCTCTCCTCCAGGGCACCTGTTTCTTGTTCTATCATTATATGTAGTGTAATGTAGACTGTTTATTTTTTTATTTTGTTTTGCATTGCGATTGTTTTTCTCCGACTTGTGGAAATTTGAATTTTGTTTGATATTTTTCAAACTCTTTCAAACAATTAAGAGCAGTCAAAGCATGACATTGTATACTGCCAACACAAAAGCATTGATAGAATAGCTTATTCATACATGTATGACAGGACGACTGTCAATGAATATTGAATTTTCCTGATTAGCATTTTAACATTTTATTAATTATTCAGAGTCTGTATCTTCTACTGCGAGCCTCCTCTTCTTGTTAGCCTTCTGAAGAAGAAATAATACATAAATGTTTAAACTCAATTGAGATTTAAGCTTTTAAGCCGATATCAAGTCAAACATTATGAAAAAAAATGTATTATAATTAAAAACCAATTGTTCAAAGAACAATTGAAGGTCTTTCCACATCAATTTTCTAAATAATTGATGAGAAGCTAATTCTGGTTTACTCAAAGCTACTATTGGCGTCCAATCATAGGTTTCTTCATACTGATTCAATAAACATATGGTTTCTATAGACTTTTGCCTGAAATAAGGGAGATAATTGTCAACATCCGGTTTAGAAAATGTCACTTCCGGTCTCATATGATAGCTTTATTTACACTGATTCCAAAAATATATGGTTTATATATACTTTTGCCTGTAAAAAGGGAGATAATTGGCTACTTCCGGTTTAAAAAATGTCACTTCCGGTCTCATAGGATAGATTTATTTACACTGATTCCAAAAATATATGGTTTATATATACTTTTGCCTGTAAAAAGGGAGATAATTGGCTACTTCCCGTTTAGAAAATGTCACTTCCGGTCTCATATGATAGATTTATTTACACTGATTCCAAAAATATATGGTTTATATATACTTATGCCTGTAATAAGGGAGATAATATGCTACTTCCGGTTTATAAAATATCACTTCCGGTCTCAAATGATAGATTAATGTATGACCATTCAAAAAATATATGGTTTCTATGTACTTCTACATGAAATAAGTGCAAAAAAAACTACTCCCGGTTCACTCAAGGTCACTTCTGGTTGACATTTTTCAAGGTCATATGTCACCCAACATTTTACAAAAGATCTTATGGCTTTATCATGTACCAATATGAAGTAATAATCAATTTACCTTAAAATAAAACATTTCAGGGGCAATAACTCCAATAAGATGTCGCTGGATTGTCTCAGACCAAATGTATCATATCTTCATCACAATATAACAAACATTTTGCACTTGTTCTTTAATATATAACATTAAAAATATCGGAGAAAATGCAAAAACAAGCAAAAGAAAAAATTCAGAACATGACCTTGACCTTTGACCTAGTCCTCATTTTCGAAGTTAGGATCCAAGGACCTTAAATAAAAAGACTATAGGTTTATACGGCTTACAGTTTATGAGTAACAAAAACATAACGACAAATTTATTTGATAAAGGTAGATAACTCCTATAAAATTTCATCGAATCGCTTCGATCCAAATTAGCCAAAAATTCCTGAGGATGTAACGAACAATTTAGAAAAAGAATTTTGTCGATATCTTTTTTTGTTACGAAGGAGATGCACACAGATGATAAACAGTGAATAGGGAGATAACTCTTGCAAAGAAAATGGTTCGGCTTAGCAGGGTGAAATTTAAAAGCGCATAAACTATACGATACAATATGAGAAATATCTAAGCCACATATTGCAAAACAAACATTTATCGCAAGAACAAAATTTGGCGGAAGAAAAAAAAAAAAAAAAAATAATAATAATAATCAGAACAAATACAATAGGTCTTTCCACAGAAAAGTGGAAAGACCTAATAATTAGATTACAGGTATGCCGTTGTTTTGATTATGATATAGATTCAGGAAACAGAACTATGTCAAAAACGTTCTAACTAAATAAAGAATTCAAGTGAAAAATACAAAGTCAAATCTAAATCAAAGTGACACGTAACATTGACAGTAATATTAAACATTTTATGCATATATATCTGCGAATTTCAAATCCGATGTAGCATAAAGGATGGCTATTATGTTACTTACTTAAAGTAATTCATTCTGGGCTATCAAATGGTAGAATGCATTTTGTCCCATCTCCATTTCCATGCATTTTGAAGCCAGAATATTATCAATGATTATTAAAATTCCTTCTGCACTCTGCTTTAATTTGTCTTCTGTAGTTCTCAAATACCAGATCTATAAATTTATATGAGAATGTAAAATTGTATATTAAAAAGAAACTCTACTTCAAGTAATTCATACACGAATCTGTCTGCAAATTTGTATAGACTTTTTCCGTATGATATTTTTTTCACATTTTACCCCCTTTTTTTACATATACATGCCATTTCATTTTGTTTAAAATATATCTTTTTCACTTTTCCATGATATCCTAATGTTTTATTATAACCCTGCATACATATAATTTAAAGAAGTAGCGTCTTCAACTTTTTGTGATATTTACTCCTACAAACTATTCAAATACAGATTTTGTGTTGCCAAAGTTTTGCCGAGGACAAAAAAACAAGATTCAGTCGAGTCCGTATATCAATTACGATTTTTTAAAATTACAACTTACATGTTTCTTTCTCTTTGAACTGTAATTTTCTCTTTTAGTTTTCTTTGTTTTCACTGCTTTCGGAAGTTACAAATAGACGACAGGAAATAACCTCAAAGATGACCATCCCATTACATTTAGATTTTCTATAATCTTAATTACCATAGCAACTATCTTTGAAATGTGTCCAACATCTGGTTAACCTTATCAGAATGTGTTTGATTAACAGAATGGTTGTATCAAATATCACTCTGTATATATTTGTTTATTATGTTTCATCAATTAAAGTTGAACGAAAAAAGTTATAATAATACACGATTGAAATGTTCCTCAAAGGTTAAAATTATCAAGGAGATTATCTCATATAACCCTTTTGGAATTATTAAAGCGCTTCTATAAAAATGAGGAGTCATTCATGTTAATGTGATATCTAAAAAATATTTCTTTTCCATATCAAACACTTGCTTCACTCAAATATTACTAACAAACATTTGACAAATATTTCTGTCATACATCTTACAAATATCTAGAAGACATATTATGTTAAAATGTTTATAAAAGGGTCTTCAACTAATATTTTCTAAATAAAATCGAAAAAATATTTTGTTAAGACGTTATTCAAATATTCATTAGATATTACCCGCTTATATTTTTAATTAGGACAAGAAAATTATTTAGATGTTACATCAAAAAGATATTTTATTATACATCAAACCTATGCTTAACGCAGATACTAATCAAAAATGTTTTATAAACATTTCTTTTACACATCTTACAAATATATATTATAATTATAATATAAAAATGTCCATCAGATATTGTTTTAATATTATAAAGAAATATTTCTTCGACATAAAACTGTTCTCATTTATAAAACTGTCTTTTAAACGTTTAAAAAACATCAGCAAAAAATATTTATTTATTTATTATAAAAAACTATTTACAAAAAACGTTTTTATATTTGCAATCAAACATTGGATTGAAATGCTATTAGTAAAATATCATTCACACCTAATTTCCGATGTAAACAAAATGTCTTTAAAATATTTTTGTGAAAATATTTCTGATAAACATATATACAATCAGTCAATAATATCATGAAAATATTTTGTGTTAGCTGGGAACCCGTGGCGTAACGTCATTCGGTATCGTGTAACCTTAAATATTTTGAATTGTACACAAAATTATCAAAGTAATAGCGTTACAATTTGTATATTCTACTTTGAGATTGGCTTAGTAATGATTCTTTTTTTTTGCTTGTTTTGTGTGTGATTCATGAATAAGAATGCTTTCGGAAAAACAAAATCCGTGCAAATTTTTTTTTTTTAATTTTTGTTTTGTCTTAGCTTAAGCGATTCTTGTTTTTGTTGTGTTTTGTTTAATTGGAGGTATTTTAATCATCTATCTAAACAGAACATATTTAATATATGTAAGTACAATCTACATAAAGCATTAATTGAATATCAACAGTTATTTCTTTTCTGTTTACTTTGAGATCATAACGTTGCACTAAAGACGGAGGATGTATGTCTTAATGTAGACAGTGTACAAGATTCAGCGAAGAACAAACCTCCCTTGGCTGGTAAAATAGAGAGGAAAACAAATGTTGTTGAAGTAATGGACGAATATCCAGAAGAGCATGACGAGGAAGATGAAGGAAATGTATATAATAACATACCTTCTGAACAAACAATTACTCAATATAAAATACCTATAGCAGACCTTAAAAAGGTTATCAACGAGAAAAGAAAGGAAAATGGTTTCAAAAATGAATACGAGGTACTTAAAAATAGTTTTCTGTTACAATGTAACCATTACTAGTTCCCCTTTCTTGTCTGCTGAATAATCAATGTATATAAATAATACTTTTAAGATAGAATATTGAGACTAAATGTAAATTCTTAATGTGCTATTAAGAACCTGAAAAAAATCTGTCCATTGTTGAACATAACAGAAATAAGGACAATATATTATGTTTGACAACGACACTCAAAGGAAACAAGAACATAAAAAAAAACAGGACATGCAACGACCTTTAACGATAGATACAACTATTGAACTATATACAATGACAAGCTTTGAATAATAACACGTGAAACAATACAAACGAAAGATTTGACGACTACATTTAAGAAAAATAGCATTAAAACAATATTGATAAAAAACGGCAACCAACGACAATCACCAGTCAACAATATCCAGGCATGGGACGGGCACATGCGGAACATGCCGGTGTTATAATGTTTGAAACATGTGTACACTAGTTAACCAATTTTGATCTGAAAATATCATTTTGATTTGAACAGCTCTTAAAAAAATGAACGATCATTTATTCAGTCCTTTTAAGTCTGTCAGTCAAATTTTAGACTCTTTCACTTAGTACATCATTTCAGTCAACTTGCTTGCAGTTACTTACAAGTTAATTTACTCAATGTTCAGAGTATTAAGTAGTTGTTTTTAACCTGTACAAATCAACATCATGTTGAATTTTGTGTAAGGCTAATGAAAAGAACTATATTGACGGCAAGCGAATTATCTAAAGAGTACTGAATTACACGCAGTGGATTAATCTGAAAATTGAGCAAAAGACTAAACATGATTTATCAATTTATTGTTCAAACTTTTCAGATATCGTGAAAATCGGAATGCCCGTTTATGATTAAATTCATTTACTAGTGGATATGCTTTACCTCCTCATATGACCAGGTACAGGGTGTAACTAATAGTTATATGTACTTTAACAACAAATAAGTAATATGACAAAAGGCGCAATGTACCGATCTAATAGTACTCGACGTTGATATCTCAAAGATAAATTTGCAACTCCTGCATAGAACAAGTTCTCATTGACTAAAATTTAAATCACTAGAACTCCAACTGAACGAATCGCCATACGCGTTCTGGGAACAGCATAACCGTGTGCACGGCCATACTATACACATCCACAGTATGTAGAACTATAAGTGTTAATAATTGAACGATGATAATATTTATTTGATATGTTTGATGTATTAAATAATTTAAATAAAAATTAATGTTAACAACCAAAAACAATAATATCAAAATATCTTACATTTATACATGTATAAAGTAGGGTTACTAAATGGACCGGTAGGTTAAGTGGATTGTATCCTAATTACAGAGCGTGTTATGCCACATAACCGTAACAATTAGATTTTAGGAAACTGTTTGTTGACCGTGTGATGTGTTTTGATAATTTGTGATTTTCAGCTGGTATCTAGTTGAAATATACCTTACGGCTCCATCTTTTCTTTCGAAAGTTATTGTAGTGTACACTTAATCACTCTGCTTTATATTTGTCGTACTGGTTACTAATTATTATTAATATGTACCCGTAGTTGACTGAAAATTGTCAGAGTGGATATATTAATTTGATCACATTTATTTTTTTTAGCTCTTACCTAAAGGACTTGTTCATGCTCACGCCGAAGGTTCAAAAGAAGAAAACAAAGTTAAAAATCGCTTTCTTACAACATGGCCATGTATGTATTGTCTAGGCATTTTTTATCAATAATCTGCATCGAAAAATTTGTTTACTGGTCGAATGAAAGATAGTAAATAAGATAATATAGAATGTTGACCCTTATTAGCGTTTATTAGTATGTTAAATATGACATTTTCATGCGCTTACTATTACATAATAGACTACATGTAATAATAAGCTCTGATTCCCTGTTCGGGTGTGGTTTTATTATTGGCTCTATGTTTGGTTGTATCACTTCTTTAACGTTTGTATATGGTTTGGACTTTCAAAAAATTTGAACTCGAGCATCACTGAAGGATAATAATTGACGAAATGCCAATCTGGTGCAATACAATTGATTCCGTCAATGTTATTCACATTTAAATGGCCAAACATAATCTTCCGAATCAAATAACCAAAAAATAAACATAATTTTCAACTTATTATAGAAATACATTTTGTTGTTCATACCACCACCGTTTATTAACAAATTTAGCCAGAAACCAACATTCCGCTCTTTACTATAAATTTAGGGATTGTAGAAGACATTAATTGGTTTCTTTTTCTCTCTGTCATGTCTGTGACACGTTGTTTTGATATAGATCTAGACATTTAAGGTTTTAAATAAATATGTCGTGTACACGTAATTATTTTGTATAGGTTATTACTTGTACAAATACAATTGTACAAATAATTACTTGTACAATTTTTATTGAGAAAAAGATAATTACTTGTACAAATCATTATTCTACCTTGGCCTATTTGTCCAAATGGAGAATACATGTGGATCCTGCACTACATGTACCAAGATCACACTTTACCAAATCTACAATTTTTTACATCAGAAAATGCCTGTACAAAGTCAGGAATATGACAGTTGTTATCCATTTGTTTGATGTGTTTGAGCTTTTGATTTTGCCATTTGATTAGGGACTTTCCGTTTTGAATTTTCCTCGGAGTTCAGTATTTTTGTTATTTTGATTTTCACCATTTTGTTTGCCGTCCTTTAACTACGCATTTTCTTTACTTTATGCAATAGCGTATATTGTTTTCATACATTGTTGATTTCATTTAACTTTATTAATAAATAACTGTAGGTTTTTGGTGTTAAACAGTTAGGATCGGTTATAAAGACTTTCAGAATCATAGGTCTTATGTGTTTTTGAAACTCTATTAGAGCAGATCTGCCCTTATAACATGTATAAGTGCTGTTATTATATGTTGTAGGGTATAACGGTTAAACCTGAAGTAGAAAATAACACTCAGAATATTATTAAGAATACACCTGTTCTACAAGATGTTGATAAAAAAAGTTCCTTCTATCTCTCTCTCTCGTGATTTAGGAGAGTTTATTTTGTCGAGACTATCCGGAGCATTTAACTTGGCGTTTTCTGTTTAATATACACCTGGGTGAAACATATTAAAAAAAAAAATAGTTAAAAGTAAAACAGTCTTTATTTACTAATGGTTTAAACGTTTATTGGTTCAATATCACTTGCGGTCGACTGTTAGTTCCTACGGGTAGTAACTGAGTAGTCAGTGATCTGGTACTAACATGGTATTTAATTTAAAATGCGTATATCATCAGTTGATAAATTAAAAAAAATAATATAAAACCTATGTTCCAACTTCCTCATCTACTGTTGACATTAAGATACGTTTCGCTATCTTAGATGCAGCTGTTCGTGTGTCTAAGTCTGATACATTCTTCATGTCATTGGCTATCAACTGTGAGCGTTCCTGATTGATGTAAATCTTGAGAGTGCTTTTTACGCACGAACTTGTAAATGTTCTTTTCATTTACTAGAGCTGGGTCGATATCACTCTTGGTAGACATTAAGTCCCCGAGGAAGTCATCCACTTGGAAGTAGCATGATTTCTTTACAAACTTTTCTAAAATCTTCCGTTTATAAAGTAAACAAAAACTTATTAGAATCTGGTACCGATTCTCTCGAATAAGATTGTCCTAAGATACATTTGGTTATATGTAGGTTCCTGTTGGTCATAAAGCTGTCTTATACATCCTCGGCTGTCCAATATTGGATGTGAGCGATCCTACATTGTGATAAAGGTATTCCAGAAACGCAATTTGAACGCAAGACTTTTAATAACCGTTTTGTTCATGTCCTTAAGTCTGTAAGACAAAAATGTTTCCTAGTTTTTTTTTCTCCACTATTTAGTTTTTTGATATAATTAAGAGTTATATCTTTATATTTTCATAAACGAATGAACAAATGAATAAATAAACAAATAGAGCCATTCTTAACTGTTCTTAATATACTATTAACTATTCTAAATATACGATTTAACTATTCTAAAAATACGATTTACAGTTTAGAAAACAAGAATGTTTGCTAGTTTTGTATTTTCTCTACTATTTTACTTTTAATACAATTTAGTTTTATGCTTTCATATTTTTTAAAATGAATAAATAAATGTATAAATGAATAAATGAATAAATAGAGCTATCCTTAACTGTTCTCAATATACAATTTAACAGTTTTAAATGTACAATTTATAATATAAGTGTTTAATTATGTCACATATATCAAATTAAACGTAACATTCCAAAGTTTGGTGAATACTTAAACATATACGTATATATTCTAAAACAAACGTGAATATTTTCTTGTAGATGACCATTCACGGGTTGTGCTGACTGAAGATACCAAACATGATTACATAAACGCTAGTTACATTGATGTAAGACAATTTCCATGTATATAACTTTTTTATAACATTTTTATTGTCAAGTAAATTTGAATAAGATGTAATACATATTTCAGAGTGCATGGCACCTATCCATGCAATGAAAACATTGGTTTAAAACATAAGGGCGCTTGATACTTTATTCGTACATTATTTCACTGTACTTGAAGGATTGCATGACTTCATTTGTGACATGTTTACTAAGTGAAGATTTGCATGGCTGGTTGTACAGGAGGATACGTCTTATCCTATCGACGCAACCGCTGTTTGCCTTTTGGAGTTTCCTTTTTTTTCAAAATTTGTCTCCTTAACCGATTTAGACATTTGAACATCGGTAAACTACTTTTGTCTGAATTTACAACCATACTTGAAAGTGAAATGTATTATATTAAAGTATTTAACCGTGTAGTTAATAGAAAACACAGCTATATTTTCATTGTTACTCTGCTTCTAACAATATGCAACCTATTTAATTTCAGAGCTATAACAAAGAAAAGGCATACATAGCAACTCAAGGTTTGTTTATATTATAACAGTTTTATAATTAAAGACGTCCATTTGCATTTTTTTCAGTCTGTTCATCAATTATTCAATGTCTGTTTAAAGCATACTATTAACCTGTAAGGTTAATCAATGCTAAACTGACCAGTTTTTACTAAAATAAAAAAGTTCTTTTTACAGCCAATAGGGCATTATAAGGTTTTAGTTGGTTAAGAAAAATTTCCTTCGTTTAGTAGCAAATGATATACAATATAGTTTAAATCGAATCTTCCATTATGGATATTTTTTTTTTCTGTCGGATATGGGTTTGGAGGAGGTTATTCAGGTATAAGTTCAATCCAAACAAATGATACATTATGCGATTTATATTATAATACAAGTTCTTTCACGCTTTTTGTTTTGTACGTAGGTCCGAAAACGAACACCCTAAGAGATTTCTGGCAAATGGTCTGGCAGGAAAAGGTTTGCAAAATAGCGATGGTAACGAAAGTAGAAGAGGGGAGAAGGGTATGTATTTCTATTTTTGTTCATAATATCAGTCACATTCTATATTAAGCCTCTTGTATAAAGTGTTTTGAGTTAACAGTCGTCAATGTGTATTGAGGTTCTCATATAGTTAAATGAAAACAGTATATACATGCAAAGTAGGCTACCCTTCCCACGCCGATGCAGTCGATCGCGGTCGTTTTGGAATTGATGTGCACCCCTCAGTTTATGTTTGTTACCTTGATTTTTGTCTTCCTTATCGATTTACGATACCGCTGTTGTCTTAACTCATAGTGACATTACAAGTGACCTTTTGCACTAAAGTGTGCAGATTATATATATCAACATGTTTATTAACCAAACAAGCAACACAATTTAGAAGATTTCTTTATTAATTGTAAATGTGCAATATCAGGGGCTAATAATGGGTATTATCATCCCTCCATCCACCTGTATGATATATTTATGCCATTCAATTATGTGAAGTGTGTATGTTTTAGTGCTTGCGTTGGAAGAACAGACATATTCATAGATGTCGACACATTTCAGTCATGTTCAGTCTGTCAGTCAATTTTTAGACTCACCCACTGTGGTAAATTAAGTATTGTTGACAAATTTCGTTTTCAGTCAATTAAGTACTGTCTAGTAGCTTTACAGACAATTCAGCATTTTGTTGACTTGTACAGGTAAATATCAACTAAATGAAAAGTCTGAACTCAGAATGAACAGATCCTAATTTGGCTGACCACCTCGGTGCTTTCGTGGTAGCGTGTTCGCCTCGAGTTCGGGTAATGTGACATGTCTTCCTGTGGACTGTTACCTCATGGACTTGCACGTTAAAAATCCGGCTCAGAGTGTCGGTCTAGTTCAAAGCAGGGCTAAATTTCAAGTTACATTAACATGTTCTCGTTCTGAATATGCATATTAATTAGCCGCTGGACGTTAAGCAGTCACACATCATCATCATCCTAATTGACTGCAAACAAATTGTCTGAATAGCACTTAATTACATGATAAATAAGAAAATTGACTGATGTTTTACTAGTGGTAGTTTGTGTTTGTTATTTTTGTATGTATCTTCTTTATTGATAAATGAAATTAGAACAGTGGTAAACTAATGTTTCATAAATAGACATTACATTACCTAAGAAAAACGAAATTGCCCAATTAAGATGACACACAGAAAAGGCGTTTATTTAACTAAGGATGACCGATCGTACAGTGCAGGATCATCATTGTTTGCGTATGTTTTGTTTATAAATTGTATTACGATTCTCCTCAAAACTGAGTACGACAATGGTTAATAGCTGTGTGTTTAATAAAACATATGTCTTAAGTCTATTTATGCATTTATGTACAATGTATATCATATTAGTAAATAATGTGTCAAACAAACTTAATTTTATAGGTAAATACATCATCTTTATGTCACATGCACTTTTGAACTTTTGTTTTTCAGAAAAAATGTGAACAATACTGGCCTCCATCTGTCGATAAAACAACGATGGTAGACAACTTTAGACTCACAATGACAAAGGAGAAATATCATACCGTTTATGTGTACAGATTAATTATTGTACACAATAAAACGGTAAATTTTTTCAATAATTTCAATTTACAGAAAAAAATATTGTTAAAGTCAATATAATAAGTTTTTCACATTTCTGGCTAAACTCCCAAACCAGGACACCATATATCCAAACATAATATAAACATAGTAGCTTTTTACATGTTATGGAGTAATTCAGACGAAGTGTAAAAATAACAACAAAAAAAAAACAATTTAAGAAAATGCCAATAAGAAATCACCATTGCACTTATATACTGTATACCCTATTGGTATTCACTTGGCGTCAAGACGTAGCTTTCACTTTGACAAACACATTATGTCCGTAACTGTTAGTGGTTTAATAGAGTTGCGATAACAAACAAACTTTGAAATTTATATCACCTTGAACTTTGACCTCAAACTGAATTTCCTGTTTATACCACAAAGAACTCACAGCAACAGATTCCAGGATTTCTATGCCATAAGGTTTCTGAATTACAAACACAAAAAGAACATTATAAATAAGTAAAATTAAGAATGAGAAAATATTCATACATGTATCAAATCACGAGCATTTTCCAAATTCTGTATATGCTAGTAAACAATAATGTAGTGTTTGCTGCTTATAAATATACACGATAGGATAAAACAAAGTCAAAGGGAAGTAAAATGCAAACTTTGTATTTGTAGTACAAAACATGGAATAAGCTTAAATTTAATGTAATGTTATTGTAATTGTAGAACAAGCAAGAACGGAAAGTTCATCATTTTCATTTCACTGAATGGCCGGATCATGGTGTTCCAGATAGCGTCAAACTGGTCAAATTTTACAGGAAAGTGAAAAGTGAAAAATGTGATGTGCTTGGTAGTCCAATGGTGGTCCACTGCAGGTATATACGTATACGTTACGCCATAATACCAAAATTTGAAAGTTAGCCTAAAACATTCTGATCTCCTTTTGAATCAATTAGTATTTCTGTCTGCTTAGTCATGTACAGTAATACATCTCATATCTCAATTCAAATATACGTGTATATGTGTTTGCAGGATTCTTTTTTAACAAAATGAGATTAATTGAGTAAATAATGAATATGGAGATAGTTTTCTCGATTATCCCCCTAAGAACGAAAATTTCCAATCATGACTTCTTTCAGGCCTAGGGAAAAAATAATACCTACGTATCAATGAGTGCTATCATCTCATATATCCCAGTGACCTATATATTAATGACACTACCCAAAAAAGAAGGTCTGCTTCATATTTTGATATTTTACTCGATATTGACAGATGAACGACTTCAAACAAGCATCTATGACAAACATGATGAGTTCAATTTTACAATTGTCAACTTCTCATTCTCCCATTATACGGGCTTCTTTAGCAGAATTTGCTCCCTACATACAATTGTTGTAACTGATCCAACATAGTTCTGAGGAAAATAGATGAAATTGGCCCCAAATAAGTTTTACGGTCACCCATGAATTGATTGATCGAAACAATGTGTTGGTGCCTCAAATCTCTAACAACATTTTTTTCGCAGATACGATCTTTAGATATCAGTATAGTCATCTGATCTGTATTGGCGATAGTGACGTTTTGACTAACTGTGAATTTGCTTTGTGGGTTATGCATCAGAGTAGGAAACGCTTAACATGTTAACCTTTTGACGCAATCTGTATACTTCCTTTTGGAATGCATGCGACTTCTTTAGTTTTTGTGTGTAACCATGATTTATCGTCCTAGTCATTTATCTGAATTCTAATATCGGTAAAATAATGTCGCTTTAATTCATAGTGACATCACAAGTGACATATTTCACTGGAGCGTCCAGATTATACCGACATATTCATTTATCAAACAATCAACATAATTTTAGAAAGTTTCCCTTATATTACCAGTTGTGCATTTTCAGGGCCTAATAAAGGGATCATTTACTTCACCTGTATGATATTTCTGCACTCAATTATATGTAGCATGTATGTTTTAGCGCTGGCGTTGGTAGAACAGGCACATTCATAGCTGTGGATGCACTTTATGAAAACAGCAGAAAAGTTGGTTTCATTGATATAATGGAGTATGTTCAGATGATGAGGAAAGACCGCATAAATATGATTCAAACACATGTATGTATGATTTAAAAACAAAACAAATAAATGCGGAGGCATTTGAAACCAGAACTTGAAAATGATATAAACTCGTAAGGCAAACGTATTTTATTCATGGATCCCTAAGTTGGTTGTTGCAAGCTGAAAGGGTTGTTATATTCCGCCTAGAATAGTAATTTCTGGTTCAAGTATGTTTTTTGATGATCAAAACTCCCCCTTTTTAAGTCAAATTGACAGCATTGCACCATTAATGATTGTTAAATACCCGAAGCTATGTTGCTTTAAAAATATATCCAAATTTCAGTGCACAAAACACTTGTATAATATGTTCCTTGTCTATCTATTAACAAAGTCAGATAATTGTAATTTTAGTATCTACGTACTTCTGATAGTGTCTACTTTTAAAAAGTTAGATTCAACACATGAACAAAATTGCTCACGTTTTTGAACATTTTAATCGTGTTTACTTAATATAAAAATAAGGAGATGTGTTATAATTGCCAATGACACAACTATCCAACAAAGTTCAAATGAAGAGGATGTTAGCAATTATAGGCAGCCGCATGTCCTTCAACAATGAGAAAACCCCATACCGTATTGTCGGCTAAAAAAGACCCCATCATGAAAAATATGAAATTATTCAATTGAGAAAACTAGTAAACGTCCTAATTTATAACCTAAACAATTTCAAAAACAAAAAATGACAGACAAGAACTAATGGCAACCACTGAACTACATGCTCCTGACTTGGGACAGTCTCATAAAGAATTTGGCGTAGTTAAACATGTTTGAAGGCACCAACCCTCCCCCTTAAATTGATTTTATGTCCTCTATGTGATCTGTAAAAGTAATTTGTGGATAGTGATTAACTGTAGCGTGTAGGCCAGACATAAATTACATGTTGCTAATATCTTTTTTATAATTGAACATAGTCATGTTAAATTTGTAGGAACAATATGAGATCGTGTTTGAAGCACTGCTAGAGTTATTAACTGTTCCAGATACGTCCATTCAAAAGAATGATTTCTGTGGATATATACAAAAGCAAGAAAATAAGACTTTACCAAAAAATCAAACAAAGTACAGTGAAGAGTTTCAGGTATCCTATATTGTGTTCTTTACAACAAGCATGATTACATCTACACCAAAGCCATATTTTAAATAAGAATATATGCACCAACACTTAACTAAACATTAAAGAATTTCTGGAGCATTGACCTGCTGTTTGCGGCAGTAGTCAGATGATAATAAAATAGTTTTTAAAAAAGAGTTGACAACTTCATGTTTCCTATTGCAGAAATAAGGGTATACACAAAATTAACATTAAGGTGGCTCGGGTGTTTTCCTCCATCTTGGATTTGGAGAAACAGATAACAATTGGTCTAGATCTTTAATGAAATGTGCAAATTTTGAGAGTATTATGTAATCCATGTGTAAGGCTTTTCATGTTAATATAGAAAATTATGTGTTTTATCATATTAACGGCTGTTTTTTTTTTTTCGATCTAAACAAATTACTTTTGTTTGATCCATTTTTTTCCAACTTTGACACATAAGGGGAGATAACACAGATAGTAGGGGAGATAACACAGATAGTAGGGGGGATAACTCAGATAAAGAAATTTTTATTATAGAAAGTGTTGTAATTTACCTAATTTAATATGTAGCAGGAAAACAAGTCCGATGACCCCATTTTTTCTTTTTCTTATCTGAAAGCATGTTATAAGAGCTATCTTTTCACATTTTATCTTAAAATTTTATGGTGTAGTTTTCTTTTTATTACACAAAATTGGATTTTCCATGCATAATCTATACAAAATCTTGCACACCTGTAGCGTGAAAAAAAACCGGTGACTCATACTTTTTATTATATTTTGGAAAAAAGCATGATAAAAACTACATTTTGACAAATTATTAAAAAATTCTATGGATTTTGATTAAGACACCTTAAACATGTCTATAACCTGAGTAAAAAAATGGTAGAGCATTTTCGTTGAATCTTTACAGATGTTCAACACTAAAACTCCTAATACTTGTTCAATATGTCAAGAACAAAATAGCTCATACTTCGAACTCAATCCCTCCTATGATTATTCATTTTAATAATTTAAACTTCACTAACAGACTCATATTGCTGTGAAACAAATTAAATTAACAACTGACTGACCAAAACATGCACTAGCCAATCATTGGGCCAACTGTCAATATGATCTTGTAGACACAATTGAAAATACTTGACATTCACTCCAAGGGAGTAATAGTAGTTGTATATGCAACACTATCTTAATTTGTAACTACTGATTTAGTAAGGTCTCGTAAGTCAGGTGTTTCGATTTCATATTAATAATTCTATTATGTTTGTATGTAGTGTTAGGAATACTTTTTATTGCATTCATGCGAGACACATTAATACACCAATTACAGTATAGTTCATATTTGAAAGCAAATGCAAAACAGATTTTTGACAATTGACTTAATTTGTCTCTTTTTCAAACAACCAATAAAACTTAGTCGAATTGTGGTTAGTTCTGACAACAATTTGGTATGGAGCACAATGAAGAGAAAATGATTATTGAAATTGTCTGGGGAAGTAAACATGGTAAACTTGATACCGCTAATATTATTGCATCTATATGCCACAAATTTCTTTTACGCTTTGTTTATGCGTTAACGAGCCCTTTTTCTTAACCAGTTTTTTTGCAGTTCACATTAGGATACTTTCAGAGATTAACATTATGAGTAATTAATACCTATTTTTAGCCCTCATGGAATTTTTTGAAACTTGGACAGAGGCTTCTTTGAGTTAAAATATAAACAACAATTATTCAGTTGTTTTTGAACATTTTCCGTATTTCATTGATAATTAGATTTCTATCTAACTATATTTCGCGTAATTGCTTTTGAATTTTTCAATGTCTTATTCTAACACTTTAGAGATTGCGAACGCTGAGGTTATCATATTCTGCGAATAATTTTACTGCTGCAAATCACAAAGAAAACAAACAGAAGAACTCTTCAACGACTGTTCTTGCACGTAAGTAGTTTTTGTGCAAATACACATTTCAGTATCATTCCATAAAGAATGCGTTATCGCAAATATAAAGGAATATCAATAACGTTGAACTTAATTGTTTTAGGCAAACGTTTAAAAATTAATATCGATATCAACGATATTCCCTCTCCAGTATCAAAGCAATGTGATGTATGCAACATATACGGATATAAAATATTTGTCTTCAACAAATCTAAATATTAATGAATTTACTTGCCAAAATATATTTGTTTAGGGGCCAGCTGAAGACCGCCTCCGGGTGCGGGGTTTTCTTGCTGTGTTGAAGACCAATTGATGGCCTTGGAATGTTTTCTGCTCTTTGGTTGGGTTGTTGTCTCTTTGACACATCCCCCCTTTTCTATTCTCAATTTTATGACAAAACGCAAACAAACCATCACAGAATATGAGTATTACAGTTTTTTTTAACTTGCATAAATGTAGATGATAATAAGGTATTAGGAAATTGTGAGTTATGATAATAAAAAGCAGAACAGAAACCTATATTTAAGGAATGTACATGCATGACAACATTTTTTCTTTAAGTTTCTAGCGATCCTTCATTTATTGAAGATTAGACTTTGTACACATCTATAAGTTTCCGGTTAGGATTCGTTTAAAAGAAATCATCCACTACATGCTTGTTTTGTTACTGCATGTACATAATAACGTCGACATGTATGCTGTCAAAGAACATACATGTATATTATGCAGTTGATAAGTTTTTATCAAAACAAAAAAACCCAAAGTAACCAGTAGATCCTGTTTGATGCAATGTTGGTTCTATTACATGCATCGGAATGTGGAATTGTTCTTATCAAGTTATTTGTTGCAGATGACAATTACAGGCCTTACTTAATGTCTTATGGTAAAACCAGAAGTGACTACATAAATGCCGTGATAATTCCAGTGAGTTTAACTTAAAAATTGTTCTCCATCATTACATTAAAAGTAAGGATGTCAACGTGCAATCGAGTACCCGAGCATCGCTCGTTAGTACAGAGTATCCAAAACCAAAATGATACTTGATTAATAGGTTTGCTGTTAAGACATTTTCCTCTTCTTTCAGTAAGCTATTTGCAAAAGACAGAAGTACGCCCATGATTCTCCAATTTTATCTTTAAATGAAATTCCATTAAGTAATGTAATTGCATAAACTTCTTTTAGACAATACACACAACTAAAATATTTTCCCGTCAAAATATTATTGGCTTTTGGTCGGGATCTTGATAAATTGTAGAGACTTTTCATCGTCCCAATTCAAATGAATTGACTTACATTACAAATCTTATTTTATTTTTCTATCTGGATGCATATTTCAATTATTTTATCACAGGGCTATGCAGTTGAAAGTAAAATGTTTGTAACACAGTGCCCACTTGTGGAAACTGTAATTGATTTTTGGACAATGATGTATGATCATAGTTCCAGGATTATTGTTTTGTTGGATCCCGAAAATAAGGTAAGATTTATTTTTCTTTTACTTCGGATATCATTGAGTATCTAGTAATAGTGATCTTAAGAAAGACCTCTTTGTCTAGATGATGTCATCATTTTAATGTTGACTTAATTTCAAAGAATAAGAAAACAAGCAATTTACTGATATCACAACCTGAAATTGTTGTGAACGGGGGCATAGGTTTATTTATCAACATACGATTTCGATATTTTAAATGTTGTCGTTGGACCTATTTCTCCTTATGAGAGGTTTTAAAAATCTAGTAGTACATATTTATAAAAAAAAAAACATTTACAAAATACATTTGGGGAGCTTAGATTTCCGCGACTTTCGAGAGTGAAAATATGAAGTGAATACAAATTGTCGCAAATATGTTTCACTGGGATTTACATGTACATTGTATAAAAACAACAACATAATAACGCAAATGAATTGCTGTAATGTCCGCTGACACGGAATATCCGCAAAAATAAGTTGGTGTACAGTGCCTTAGAAGCGTATATCAGGTTTTAGAACTTATAGTTTACGGCTACATTTTTTTCCTCTTCAGGGTGCTGCATTATGGTTAGAGAAGAAGGAAATGCTTCAGTTTGATGATTTCCGTATTATCAAAGAAACGGAAAATGCTCAGGAAGAGCTTCAGCTAACTTTGCATCATACGGTAAATACGATTCATATAAGTTGATACAAATACCAAATTCAATGAAATACACCATTTTGAATTTGTACAGAACATGTAGAAAGTATCATATTTCCAAACTTTTCACAAGCTCAGTGTTTATAGGATACCTTGTGACTATCATTTGTCGTAAAGAACGAGAAAAAAAAAAAAACATTTTCAAACTTTATAATTAGGAAAATTTTACGGCATTCAGGAAATACTAAAACGTCTTAAGTCAATCTAGAAAAGAAACATTAATTTATATTCGCCGGCATCCAATATAATGCTCACGACACATTTCATGAGTAAAGAATTGATAAACTCATCCTGATAATAAAGTATACAAAAATGAGGATCGCCTCCTCCAAATTTAGACCCTCGGATATGTGTATACTAGTATTGCATTTATTTAATTTGCTAGTAGGTGCAAACATGCGATTCGTGAGTATAAGGCTGTTGTTGTCTCAGACAGGTGTAACTTAGTATTTGTAAGAGAATGATAACCCCTTTCTTCATGATTAAGTACGAGCATTAGCGAGTACTTATCATGATGAAAGGGACTATATGATGTATTTCATACTATGTATTTCATTTATGAATTAGTTTTAGTGATGTAAGGACTTTCTTATGATTTTGGAAAGTATAATTCATTGAGTTTTAGACACTAGATACACAACAGTACAATGAAATGGTAAGAATTGTATAAGTTTCGTGATTGTGAGTATGAATGTTATTCATGCAATGTTTTAAGTGAGGAATTATCTTTTTGTTTTTTTTACAGTTCAAATCAATACATTCAAAATTTGGATTAAAGCTAAATTTTATTTCACAGCCAATATTTTAGTCCAGCTCTTTACATCAAATGCTTCTTCATTATGTAAGGGAAATATTTGAATTTAATGCCTTTAAAAGTTTTAAATATTTTCAAAAGTTAAAACTTAAATTCCTTTTTTTTATCAGAATATTGGAAATTACTGTTTTGCCAACCGCAGATCCAGAAATCTGAGTTTTGTCAAGCACATTAACTAAATATTTAGGTTATATTTAATTTCAAAACTTTTTTTAACTTTTTTTGCTTTGCTTTGGTATAGTTAAATTTTTAATAATTGGCAGTTATTTTAAAATATTCTAATTTTTGTTTTTAATTTTTTTTTTGTTTTGTTTCAAAATTAAAGTTGTATTAGTCAGTTTCATTCACAAATCCATTCAAGCTAATAGATGTGCTTCGGGCAGTTGTAACTCATTTATAGAAATTTGTTTTGAACTGTAAATAGGCCTAAACAATAGGATAATCCCTTACTAAGAACATGATTTACATTCATTTTTCACAATTAAGAAGCATCAAATCCTAAACTGCATTGGTCGAGAGCACTTTGCTATATTCTTAAATATACTAGTAATTGTGAACGTATTAATTTTTCAGAAACAGTTTAATAATATCGTTTTAGTTTTAAATTTCTCCCAAAAATATTTAATCAATTCAATTCAAAATCCTCTTGGGGTATATCTACAAACACAAAATGTTTAGTTTGATATTCCTTTACAGAAAAATAAAGAACAGATGTCTATTAATGTTTTTACCGCTAACGAATGGACTATCACTAATGCACCACCATCACCAGAGTATATGTTAGATCTTCTGCAGCGTGTACAAACCTGCTGGGAAACGCATAAAGTTCCTATCACTGTAGTATGCAGGTATGTCCTTCATAAAAACTTGTAAATTAATAAATTAGGTTTACATGTAATATGTAACTTTCATGCGCTTCGGACGCATGAAATTATTAAACGTGTTGTTTTCAATTTTTTACATCACTGGGTCGATACCTCTACTGGTGGACTATCAGTCCCCGAGGGTATCATCAGCTCAGTAGTCAGTACTTCGGTACTGACATGATTTATAACAAACTTTTCTATAATTGCCCGTTTATAAATTTTGAAATTATAAAGAAACTAAGGTTTCAACTCCCTCAGGCAAAGTTGACCTTAGATGGATTTGGCTATTTGTTTTAGGTATTTTTTGTCATATAGCTCTTCAACTGTTTCGGTACTTATAAATCCCTCGGATTTCAAATGTTTGGCTTTGAGCGTTCCTGATGAAGGTAAATCCAGAAAAGCGCTTCGGACGCATGGAATTATTAAACGTGTTGTTTTCAGTATTCTATACTAAGTAATATCTTTAGTTTTGTAAGATCGTTAAAATTTCTTTTATTCGTATTAGTCTGCACATTTAATATTTGAAGAAAATAATATTATACCGTCGTCTCAAATTGTCAATATCAAAAAAGAGGCATCATATACCAAGGGGCTATCACAAGTGGAAAAAATGCAACAGTATAACATAAAACATATAGCACTACAAATCATAATAACGAGTGTGCAACACGAATCTTAAAGTAAACCATTAATGTACTAAGGAGGTCATAAAAGGTAAGCAGTCCCTGTTCCACAAGTGTCGACAGCTGCATATCAGTTATAAAGCAGAGAGTAAACATGGGAATATTTGATTGTGAAAATTATCACTCTAAAAATAACAAAGGGTTATTACCAATAATAAAACGTGTAATTATCATTTTTATAAATTAAAAAAATAACATGATTTCGCAATCGATTCTTAATATTTCAGTGATGGTTGTAGTAAGAGCGGGTTATTTGTGGCCTTGACATTGGTTTTAGAAAAAATGCAGATTGATGAGGAAATAGATATTTTCCAAGTAGTAAGAGAACTGCAAATGAGGCGACCAGAATTCCTTGTGGAATTCGTAAGTGTGTATTGACTGGAAATTATTAAGTCCGTGTCACATTTTTCAAACATTAGAGTAACATTACTAAACATTTGCATAGTCCCATAATTTGACAACAAAATATGCTAATAAGAGATAAGAATCAGATATTTCAAGAGAGTTTTGCGTAGAATTGTAGATCGATTTTATCATTCCTTTAATAACAGACATTTGCGAAGGACAGAATGAGCAACGCCCCCAGCAACTACATACTTAAACTTAGATTTACGTATAGTTGTAAATCTAAATGAAATGAAGAGAAAAAACAATAAGCAGGTACTCCCTTTCAATGAAAAACTACATCAATCAAACTATTCACTTAACAGTGATTTAAAGAATCCAAATTTCTGCAAATGTTCCGTATGATTTAAGCGAGAACATACAATAAATGAACACTTCATATAACATTTCATGACTTTATAAAATTGTTTATCAACTCCAAATGAAAGTTGTCCATCATGATTTATAATATTTAAGAAGTTGATCTATATGTAAGTGTTACTTTATCTCGTGCAAATAAGCATGAAATATGTAGCATTGGACGTTATTAAGCAAATATAAATCAACCACTGAATCTTATGTTTCCAAAACATCGTACTTTGTCATGTTCGCCTATATGAATTGTACATTTCCTTGCTCTATGCTTGAAGTTTTAAGGCATTCCCGATTACACGACAGATGACGGAAATTGCAATTTCCTTGGAATATACTAAACTAGTATACATTATTGTTTAGTGACCAGCTGAAGCCACCTCCTGGTGCGGGATTTTTTCGCTGCGTTGAAGATCCATTGGGGGCCTTGGGCTGTTTTCTGCTCTTTCGTCGGATTGTTGTCTCTTTGACACATTCCCCATTTCTATTTTCTATTCTATTCTATGCTGATTTTTTTTGTAATTATTCTATCATTAAAAAAAAGGTTCAGTGTACATTGAGATAAACCTTTCTTATAATTAGTATTTCCATCGAATTGATAAAGTATATTCTACATTTCGTCATATTATACATACTACCGCATAAAATATGTATATATCCCCAGTTGTAAAATGTAGGGTGCTACCAAACTTTTATAGTTTGTTGTTTTAAACGTTTTGGACGATTACATTTTCAAAGAGTAAATATATTTGAACCATAAAGCTGTTACCCTATTAGTCTATGGGCGGTAGCAGATGTTATATTTGTTATATGTTATTTCTTCCTTTACGAAAAAAGTAAAATAACAAAAATACCGAACTCCGAAGAAAATTCCAAACGGAAAGTCCTTGATGAAATGGCAAAATCAAAATTAAAGCTCAAACACATCAAACGAATGGATAACAACTATCATATTCCTAACTTTGTACAGGACTTTTTTATGTAGAAAATGGTGGATCAAACCTGGTTTCATAGCTAGCTACACCTCTCACTTATATTACAGTCGCAAAAAATTCCAAAATGGAGTAATGAAATATAAACACCCTTCAAGAATGACATTTGATCTATCACATTACTCTTCTTCCTCTGTTTTAGGATCAGTACGAATATTGTTACAAGTGTATCAGAGTGCTACTGGAGGGAGATTCACTGTATGCAAATATTTAGTCAACTTCAAATAGTCTGTGTAGTCATGTTTTTTATGTATTTATTTGTAACTAGTTGTATTTGCCTTTAGTAATTCCCGCCACACTATTGCGACTGCAATTTTTATTGAACAACATCATGCAAATTTGAAACGTTCATTACAAAAACTTACCAACAATATAACCGCATGCAATTTGTAGTATTTGATAGATCATTATTTTTTTAAAAATTATGTGGATACAATATACTTACATTTTGTACTAAAAAATTATGTGGATCCAATATACTTACATTGTGTACTAAAATCAGTTTGAATCACAAGAGCAAACAAGATTCAAAAGTTCGATATGCTCTTGTCCTGTATCAAAATCTCATCACTTTATGTGAAGTAGTTTTTTATTATTGTCAAAAAGATGGAAATAATTTATGAAAATCTTACTTAAATCATATAATCAATGATTATCAATACTATATGAACCTGGCATAAATTCAGTGTTACAAAACAACAATGCAGGTGATACATTGTTGTGGGATATAAGAGAAAAACACAAGTGTCCCTGTTTTATTTCGCTGTTACTTGCAAGATATAGACATTTTGCTTAGTCAATAGTGATCCCCCAAGAAGCATTACACCTTGGCAAAAAATTGGTTAATTTACAGAATATTTTTATTTGTTTGTTAGAAAGAGGTGTATTTTCCTGTTAGATTAAAATGTTTGGTACGTGAATTGTAGTACAGAATATTCAAATGCAAATCTTTTGTGATATTGCTCCTTTTCTAATCTGTTTAACGGTTTAATATATTGTTTACATAGTGTACGTACTGTTTTGTTACTTTTTTTATATTCATTCACAACGGATTCAAATGCTGTAATCACACACAGTTATAAAACATACAGTGGGTGTCATTAAAATTGACTTACTAACTCTGACTTATAACTGCCTCAAATATAAATTTTTTATATGTATAAAATCAAGTCGTTTTGTAAATGGAATAACGTTATAAATTGATGACCGCCGATTTCAAGTTTGACCTTCTTACGACCGACACATGTACGTTACAGGGACATCATTTGCACAGTTCGTTAATTGTGTCTGGGCATGCATTGTGCAACAAGAAATAGTCCGGATCTCTCTGACTAGAATTCTGAAGAAATTAAAATTGACGCCACGCTTAACTCAGAAACATACAATGAACCAAAATAAAAAATAAAAAACTTTTTTATTTCCAATATAATTTGGTTTTGGATAAGAATTGTCTTTCTTGTTCATTTGTTTTATTGTTTCTGTGGTCTAGTAGTAGCGTGCTCACCTCGAGTGAGAGATGTTGTTCTCTCGACCGCCTGCTTGGTCAAACCAGAGACTATAATTTACTTTCCAAGTAGTAAGCAACAATAAGGAGAAAGACAAAAAATTGTTGAATCAGAGTAAGAATTATGTCTCCTGGAATGGTTAACTTCTCCCTGTTGATCGTTACATTGTTTACTCCATATAACATATACATGCATATAAAAAAATCCAAGACAGGGTGTCGGATTACTACGAGGCAGAGTTCATTTACATATAGCAGTTCTGTACATGTCAAAATGCTGATGTGTATGTAATATTTGCCACTGATCCGTTATAACCTATCAAACAACTTCATCGTATTCATTTTTTGACTTTTACAGATCGAATCAGTTTTCCGAAATATCATTTTATGTCATAGAACTGTTTTAATTTTTTTCTACGTATCAGGACCTCACGGCACACTCAGTATCAAACGAATATGATTAGATTAAGACTCGATACGCTAATCAATAATTAATAAACTTGGTAATTGTAAAATGAGCATACATTGTAGTATGTTATTTGAAATATATCATCAGCGACCGTTAGACATCATGTCATTAGATAAATCATTTCTTCTGATACAAATATAATCATCCATGCAACGCATGTTTATTCAAAATGCACCTTCCAGATTCATCTTATCATATCTGCCTGTTCTATATATAATAGGCTGTATGACAGCATCTTTGGAATAGGGCCATCAATGTTAAGAGTGTGGGCACAAATGATTTAACATCGACAGCTAATTGTTATTATTAACCGTGAGCATTCTTTGATACGCATTGTTTATAATTGTTGTTATATAACATATAACCATATTAGTACCGTAATTTTATTATTTCACAGTGTGTTTTAAATTATGTTCGTCGTGTCTTTGTATGTTAAGCAGACATTAAAATAATGCAGTAATAAAACAAACAAAAACAAAACAAAACAAAATAAAATCACAAAAGGGTTTACAAATCATGACTGTGTTTATAATTTCATTTCATTTTATTCCTCCAATAATCCCTACTCAATCTTTAGTCATGGTAAAGTTATCAAATTAAGGTCACTTTGCATATTTTTACCAGATAAAAACAACACAATGTAAAAAGTGTCGATACATTTTTGTAACTGTCAGCAGTAATCACATATTTTCTAAACATAGTGAGACTAAATGGCAGTTTTCACATGTTACTCTAGAGCTCTCACGTAATGTGATATATTGCCATTACTCTGGTACAACCCTTATCAATGAAAGGATTTGAAGGACAAGTCAGCGAGTAAAGATGGCGACAGGAAAAAAAAAGATTGTAAGTTTAAATGAAAAGTTAGAGTGTTGAAAGTAGTAGTACATGTGTATTTGAAACAAACAATATAACATGTTTATAACAACGGAAAACGTTTTCTGTTGCAAATCCAGGATTTTGATAAAGGGGGACCAACCAAGGCAACGCTAGGAGTGGAAACCTATGCATTAACCATAATCCATAAAGCCACCTTCCCAAACTTTGTTTTTAGGGGATATTATTATTTATGTTACGTACATTAAAGCAGAGACATATATGTCTCTGATTCGATTATACGAATATCCTGGCCACGTAAAGGTGTGGAAGGACCTTTTTAGGGAATTCCGGATTGAGCCGTCCAATACGCGGGATTACGGAAACAGCAAGTTAAGTCATCGGGAATTCGGGATTTAATGATATCGTGATAAAGCAATTATTTTCACGGGAATTCAGGATTTGGTATTTATTTCCACTGGAATTACAAGAGCCAAAAACAGATAACTTGCATAAGACAATAATAACAAATGCTGCAGTAAAGATCCAGACTAAATGTCAACATCGCATGTCGCACTTGATGCGAGTATACAGGAAACACATGGGGAGGGGTGTGTCTATTTCAAGAAATAATTATCTGTAGATTGATAACAGTATTCTGCACAAAAACTAATTGATTGATTATTTGTGCTATTTCGTGGCCGTTAGTTTTTGTTGGAGGGAAACGGAGTTCCCAGAGAGAACCACTGATCTTCGGTAGGAAAAATAACAATCCTTGTCAAATAAGATTCGAGCACATAATAGCAGTGTTCACCGGCTGGTTATACAGTAGTTCGACTACTTTGAACATTTGGCCACCGAGGCCCCAACAAAAACTGAAGAAAAATCTGGATGTTCGCTACTCTTGATTTTGACTTTTTGTTAGATATTCGGAATTCTCCAGTTTTATCCATGTAACGCCATTAACAATTTTGCCCGCTAATTCCTACTTTTCATAATTTTATAACATGTAGTTAAAAAAGCCATTTTTGAAAAAAATTATAAAATTCTTTTTACTTTTTCATAGTTTTGAAAGGAAAAGGTGCCAACTTTAAATGCTTAAAAAATCTAAAGAAAATCATTTCCCGTCAAATTTTCAATTGATGATATCTTGAAAATAAGGACATGGACCTATAATTTAATTCTGCTTTTTTAGTTTCGATATGTATATACTATCAGTTTACATGTATAACAGTCTTTCACAGGGCTTGTTATTTTGAAACAGAGGAGCGAACATCCTTAATTACTCAAGATATTTTTACGTGTGTTTTTTTACTTTGCAGGGGAATAGTTAAGAAAAAAATGGACAATAAAAGTAATGCTAGCTGTACCAGCCAGAATACGGTTAGTTAAAGAGAAGAAAACCAGACATATTGGTGCAACTATACATTTTTTTTTTAAATTGACCCTTACAATGTATATGTTTATGCATACTCTTGTCCTGAACATGCATGTAATATTTGCCACTGGACGTTAAGCATCCAAAATCAATCAATGAATAATCATTTTGTCATAAACCTCCTTATTATAGTGCAGTATTAAATGTTATACCAGCACAGGTACAAGACGGTCTTTCAAGCAAGAAAATATGGTCAATTTGAAGAAAATAGTATCAATTGTTGAAAACTAAGTATCTTCGTCATGTGAACTCTTGAAAATAGTTGTCTCATTGGCAACAATACCACATCTCCATTTTTTATGCCCCCGCTGCTGAAATTTATATAATGTAACATAAGTCTAGGCCTAAATGGAAAATTTGTTTTTTTTTTAATTTTAGATGAAGCCAAAACGATCTCATATAAACAAATTGTCAAGGCAGCAGAAATTCAAGCGTGTGGCACATGTAGTAGTCAAGATCATTGAGATGTGCAGATGGATGCATCATCTCGCAAACGACCAAGGCAAAGTTTAGAAATGAATCTCCAGGATCCATTAATAATGAGTAAAAGTTCAGACAAAACAGTGCCGACCACATTTTAGAACAGGTAAAACCCCCCAAAAAGAAAAAGAGAAATGGAAAAAAAGAGAAAGACAAGAAATACAATTCCAGTCGACGAGTTCAAAGATATATACATAATCAATAACTTTAAGGTGGCTCGGGTGTCTTCCTCCATCTTGGATTCTGAAGTAGCAGAAGGTCTAGATCTTTGATTAAATCTGCAAAATTTGAGAGTAGTATGCAATTTATGTGTAAGACTTTTGATAAAATTATAGAAAATTGTATGTTTTATCATAATTATTGCTGTAATTTCTCAAAAACACCTTATTTGTGTTTGCTTAATTTTTTTTCAACTTTGCCAAATAAGGGGAGATAACTCCGATACAGTCATTTTTAGAATAGAAAGTGTTGTGAATTTACCTATTTTTATCTATAGCAAGAAAACAAGTTCGGTGACCCCAT